CTTGATAAAGATACTATCAAGATACTGTAACACCAGCCAATCTGTAACTGCAAAATCAGTTATATAGTATATCAGAAAGAGGCAAGTAAAGTAACCACCATTGTGTTGTTACTATGGTAACCACCACAACCTCTTCCTACAAATCTCCCCGCTATCTCAGTGCTACCTGTTACTGACACGGCAGCTTCACTGTTCACAAGAGACCACGTGATCACACCAGCCCACGTGACAGGGCGGCTTCACTGTTCACAAGAGACCACGTGATCACACCAGCCCACGTGACACGGCGGCTTCACTGTTCACAAGATACCACGTGATCACACCAGCCCACGTGACACGGCGGCTTCACTGTTCACAAGATACCACGTGATCACACCAGCCCACGTGACACGGCGGCTTCACTGTTCACAAGATACCACGTGACACGTGTTAGTTGATAAGTAAGGATACCTGATAAGGGAAATGCCTGACGCGCCGAAGCGTGTCTAGACACCAAATAGTTTAGTAACTATCTAGTATCTTCTACCACTAAGTAGTGTCTCATCATGTAGTCTACACGCTAAATACCACCTAGTATGACAACGTAGTATAGTGGCCAGGTTTTAAGAACTGGGCTTCCCAAATCACTGAAAATAACTCTGTCTGATATGTAATGTTTGTTACATATTTCTGAACTACATATTTTCGAAATGCCTTTCAGTCTCAGACATCAATTGACCTAGGTCCACTAAAATAGTACAGTACTAAATATCTCCAAATATATTAATATACTGACATAGGTATAGCTAGGTAGCCAGTGCTACGACACTTCTCAATTGGGAGAGAGAAGAGGATTCACCCTTGTCATGGTATTAGACGTGATCATGACCATGACCGTCCGCAAGAATATTTGTGCCGCGTACATATTTAATAGTCTGAGTTCTGGGTATATATTCGTACAAGTTCAGTACTAACTATCTGACTAGACTGAGATTCTGTAATAATATTGATAATATCTTGATGGTGACGATTATTAATAATATCTTGATACTAAAAGGATACTGATAATAATATCTTGATATTACTATAACATAAACCAATACGAACAGTGATAGTATCTGTATATTACTATAACATAAACCTATACGAACAGTGATAGTATCTGTATATTACTATAACATAAACCTATACGAACAGTGATAGTATCTGTATATTACTATAACATAAACCTATACGAACAGTGATAGTATCTGTATATTACTATAACATAAGAGACTGTGGGATACTGAAGGGAAAGGAAGCAGTTCTAACGAGCTCTTCTCAAACACAAGGATATAACTTGTGAACTTGGCTAGTATATATGAAACATTTGATATGGAGTTGTAGAGGGAGTTATGTGCCTCGCCGGGCTAAAGTAGTGGATGACCTTGCTGTACGGCAAGTTAAACAAGGATCTGAAACTACTAGGTTCCGTACAGACTCAACTCTGCACCCGTGTCAATATGTTCAATATATGCAAGCCTCTTGATTTATAAACCTATACGAACAGTGATTATATCTGTATATTGCAGTATCTTATTAACCACGCATTACAGCTCTCAATACAGTGCCTACAAACAATATGGTAGTGTGATGCTAGGTACTGCAATCTCATTATCAATACACCTTAAGAGAGGCATATTACATCCCCAAGTGGTATGTTATGCGATTTGTTGTGTGCACTGTGAACCTAGAGCCCACGTGTCACAATGGTTTAATTGCAAACAAGAAGATTCTGCAATCATTAATATTGGGAGCACTAGAGGGAGGGAGCTATTATATATACTATGGCACCTATGTGTTGGGGACACCTTTTGTTGTTATTAAAGCTTAAAGGTTGCCGCCTACCATAGGTAGCGTTTCTATTATATAGGGGGGCTAGAGCCACAAACATAGAGGAGAGAGAGAGAGGGGACTATTATCACTTCATTTAGTAACAAGGACCCCTGGTATGTAGCTCCTGGAACTAGTAGGATAGTATATAATATAATGTGAGATGTACTGATAAACAATGGGTTGGGAGGTCAAACTGGGCGTGGTTACATTATCCATCAGGGGAGGGGATCGGGAGTAGGGTCATTTTCGACAGTGCAAAACATGCTTATTATTGAATGCCTAAGATAAGTAAATACATACCAATTGTGTATCACATTTTGCAGTTAAAGAATGCAGTTTTTGATAAATAAACAAACATGATAATATCACGGCCACTCCTCAGTCCTCTTCCAACTGTTTCATGGCCATTCATAAAACTGACATATAAAACTTGCTTCTATTCTTGTGTAAATTTGTATTGATCCCGTTTCATAAACAATACCCATAAACAATATTCCAATCCGGATTTTACAAAAACTTGCCAGGGTAGAAAAAATCTTAACCTGGTAGTTCCTTGTTGCCTTCGCAAGAGCAATTCTAACTGCATAGCCACACGTTTTGTGAACAAACTGATATGAGTCCTAGCTGCACAAAATTGTATGTTGTCTGCGCACTAAACGTTTCTCAAGGCATAAAAACTTGATCACATCAGTTAGAGTAGTAAAGAGAGGGTTGTCCCGTTTATATCTGTCCAGGTCATGACTGGTTCTCATTATAATCGACTTTTAGGCTGACTGGTTGACCATGGTTCATATCTCGATCATGGTTTTCTAAACACTCTAGTCGGCGTTATACTTTAGACAGTAACCTGGTAACCATCACCTTATCTTACTATTCTTAAAAGCAACGGTTGAGAGCACTTATACTGCCGCCACTTACAACCCTGCAACCAAGCAAAGATAACGATACTCTACTAAGATTATAATATAAAGATCAAATAAAGATATCTAGACTGAAGCACTGGTAGGTGGAAACCTGAGATCAAAGAAAGATATCTTCACTTTTATCATGTTAAGAGATCATGTAAGTGTCTCGCCTCCAGTACTAACCAATAAACACTCCTATAGGTTTTCTTATAACAAATGAAAGACAGGTTAGCTATGCTCCAGCCAGTTTCAAGCTTGTCGCCCTGGTACTCTGGTAACATATCGAGCGAATAGACAGTACTCCCTAACCAGTACCCCCTAACCAGTACCCCTTAACCAGTACCCCCAGTTCATGCTACCAGCAGTCAGCACCAGAAGACCACTGTGCAATTATACCAAAAAAACCGCCCACGTTAGTTAGAAAGGTTGTGACTCTGATGATTATGTAATAATATGATGTTTGATATAGAGACTAGAGTCAACTCACTGGAGCTCTCACCTCTAATAGTTACCACCAGTGCAGGCAGCTGAACAGTGGTCACACACTCGTAGTAGGTACAACACTCACATTGGCTGCTGTATGCCCGGACAAGCTAGTCTAATTTGATGTTGCTATTATTAAATAGTGCTGGTGACACAAGGGTCAAAACCTTCTCATTCTTGTTCCATAATTAACAAACTTGAAGCTTAAGACATTATATTATTGACATTTGACATGCTGTCCTGTGACAAAATAGTCTAATTTGATCTTGCTATAATAGGCTGTCGACAGAAGGGTCAAAAACTTCTGATTATTGTTCCAGCATTTAGTTAACAAACTTGAAGCTTGTAAAGTTGTAAGACAGTCGTGAGTTTAAAACAGCGCATCTACCACAATTCATCCTTAGCCTGAGATACTCTTTGCCTTAAAAGAGTAAAGTAAGAAGCACAACTAAGAAGGATGGGTGTAGTGCACGATTTCTGACAGGCAGATAAAGAAACACCCCACACCAGATAAGGAAAAACACGTCACACGCACGTCTATCACAGATCCAAAGGAGATACCGACTGCGGAGAGAGAGAGAGAGAGACTGTATCTAGATACCGAATACGGAGAGAGACACTAGATACGACATATTACATTTCCTTCTCCTCTACCTCCCAGCTGGTAGGAGTTCAAACTAGTCGGGAGTGTCGGCAGCATGTGGTTAAACTGACACTGTAACCATAGGAACTGACACTGTAACCATAGTATTGCCACATTGTTACGTCACAGAAGCTCACTGTTTGTGTCACTTTGTAACGTCATTGCTGTTGGTGTGACACTGTGTTTGGTGTGACACTGTGTATCAGTCTACAGAGAGACTTTACAACGACTGAAATATCTCATATCTGAAGTGGGGTAGATACGCTAATGTAACTGCTTAACCTTATTTGACGATCAAATCTGAAACCGAACAGTTTATTCTATTTTTAAGAGTCGCTAGAAATGATGTAATTGTACAGACACCGCTGGTCTTCTTGATGGCAAGATGGAGAGATATAAAAAATGCCAGCTTGTTTAATTAAATAACTAAATAATAAATCCTTAAGAAGTCCGGTGGGAAATGTGCCCCCTGCTGTACTGAAAGAGACCCAGCAAACATTTAACTAATCACAATTTGTAATAAAGTAGCACATCGTTACAATTCACGCTCTGTAAAGTCTAATCATTAACGGTGCTTTGCTGAGGATGTGGCGGCATTTTAACTTTCTACAAATGTTATTATTTGGGGTGTGGCTATTTCGGTAGGGTGTTGGTGCAATGTTAAAATGTTACAATGTCAGAAGAGGTAAAGAAGTCAGGGCCATGTGCCCAAATTGGGTATTTTTTGCAAATTAAGGATTGCAAATATAATTGCTTTCAAGCGAAATCATTTTTCGTTCATTAACTAAGCCTGTCAACCGCTAAGTGCTATTATTAGCATATTATTTAACAGAAATATTATAACACTAAAACCTATTACAATGATGATAACATAAATTCCCTATGGTACTTAACCGGCGCGGCGCTCAACCGGCGCTCTGCCGGCAGCGGTATCCGCCCGTTCTGCCATTTAACCATAGTTTATAAATTAACTCGGTTATTGGAGTAAAATCTTGAAATGGTTGGTGTGGTGGAGATTATAACCATGACTTGTTAAAAAGATTAGAGAAATCTCCTTATTTCCCCGTTTAAACAGTGAGTGGGTGGGGTTGAATGGAATATTCGTGACTGCTTACCTCGGGAGAGTGTGTAGTTCCGTTGGCAGTTCCACTACCGTTCTGAGCAGGACTAACTGTTGCGTTAGTTATACACTTGTAGTTGCTTCCAGCGGTGTTTAACATGCTGTTACCCTGCAATTGCGCCCTGTTACTCCTACTTCATTGTCATTACTCATTTCACGGTAACTTCTACTTTTACTTCAGTGGGTGTCAATTAATTGTGTCACAACATTCTGGCAGAAGTTCTGCCAGATATTAATTGATAAATATAAATTCTAATTATCCTCCATTGTACATGTAATATGTGTGAATAGCTGTAAAAGGAACAGCATGTCCTTCCAATGGCCAGTTGGTAGATCACCGACCGGCTATAAGCCGGCTACTAACCGGCTATAAGCCGGCTTATAGCCGGCTACAATTTTTATAGCCGGCTATAAGCCGGCTTATAGCCGGTTAGTAGCCGCTTACATTTGTTGTTGAGCGATGGCTATTAGCCGGTTATAAGCCTGCTATTAGCCGTTTTGGTATTAAAAGTGGTTATAAGCCGGTTATAAGATATTAACTCAACTACATCGTACTGAACGATAGTCAGGAGCCGGCTATAAGAAATTCAGTGAAAACGGCTATTAGCCGGTTATAAGCCGGCTATTAGCCGTTTAGGTATCGAAAGTGGTTATAAGCCGGCTATAAGCCGGCTATAAGCCGGTTATAAGATATTAACTCAGTTCAGTACGATGAAGTTAAGTTAATATCTTATAGCCGGCTTATAGCCGGCTTATAACCACTTTCGATACCTAAACGGCTAATAGCCGGCTTATAACCGGCTAATAGCCGTTTTCACTGAATTTCTTATAGCCGATACCTAAACGCTAATAGCCGGCTTATAACCGGCTAATAGCCGTCGCTCAACAACAAATGTAAGCGGCTACTAACCGGCTATAAGCCGGCTTATAGCCGGCTATAAAAATTGTAGCCGGCTATAAGCCGGTTTATAGCCGGCTTATAACCGGCTTATAGCCGGTCGGTGATCTACCAATTTCCCCTTCCAATATACACCCGCTTATATATCACAATTATAAAGGTGTAAATTACAGCTACAATAGTACTAATTTTAGTAATAACGCTGTTCGTGGGCCAAAGTCCAGCACGCAGTGTTATTATTATTAGAGCGAACAATATACTATTTAAACAGGTGTTTAAAAGCACAGGTGCTAGTCCAGTGCAACACTGCATGTTTATTTTAAACTCTATGTGTACAGTTACTGGACAGAGAGATATTATCTTTTATTAAAAAAAGAGTAGAATTTCGAGAGTTGGTGATAGATAAAGATGAAACAAGAATCGCACTTATAAATTATTGAACTATAGAATAAACATCACCAGTTCTTTTAATTGGATAACTTTACAGTATAGTTTGCCATTGTTAGAAGTTTTGTTTAGTTCCATAGAAATAGCTCCAGTATCTAAGATAGTTAACTAATCCATTAATTACAGTAAGTTAACTAATTGTGTACCTTATTTTCCTGTAGTGCGATGCTGGGGTGAAGGACAGGTAATAAAGTGTATCCAGAGTAGAGTTCCTCGTTGCTTATAACGTGTTGTAGCGATACACTTCCTGGAGAGATTAACTAATTAGTCTAATTGAAATGTTATTAATTAGCTTCCAAAATACTTGTTAACAACTAATCTCAGACAAATTGATTTGTTCGACTCAAGGTTTAAATGATTATAGTAAAGTAAGTATGTAGTTGCATAATATAGTATAAGCTAAACTATAAACATTTTTTGTTTGTTGGGGAACGCTTTGATTTTACTTAGTCCCGCTATATAATTGTATAACATAAAGTTAGGCCATTCGTCTGCAATGCCCTCGTTTTGCTGATCAGCATGTTTTTTATATAATAATATAATAAATAAATAAATAATAATATAATACGGCCAGGTAGCGCAGTTGGTTAGAACGCCTGTCTTACAATCGTTAGGTTGCGAGTTCGAAACCCACTGACTGCCTGGTCGTGGGGTGAGCGTCGTCGACGTTCAGCTAAGGATCATGAGTGGTCTATGCAGCCCCCCGGTCTACTCAGCCGAATACTCGAGAAATCGGGTGTGAGGGTTAAATGAGGAGCTGCACATTGCAGCAAAGTCTCGGACGAAGAAAGTATGGTACACACTACCTTAACCGTCACTGGCCAAAAAGATCCTTCGGCTTCCTGTAATTGGCTGGTTGCACTTGTGTAACATTGTGGCTGTTGGAATACACCGAAGTAAAATAAGTGTCTAGATAAAAAAAAAAAAAAAATAATAAATAAATACTGGGAATAATAATTAATATTAATAATTAAAATTAAAAGGATAAATTTCCTACCGTCAAATTCCCTGCTTGTATGAGTACTACTTCCTCTCTTCTTCTCCTTTGTCTTTTGAACTGTTTTGTAGATAGCCGTCTCAGAGATCTGAAACACAAGCAAATGTTTTCTAGTCAAAACTCAAAGACAAGGAAATATCATAGATAATAAATATAATAGTTATTATACATCTCTACTATAATTCAAAGAATTATTTCTGTATGTATGTACACTGTACGACCGCCCACGTGCAAATTAGATGAAAAATAGGAATTTAGGTAACAACCAAAAGGTTCCATAGCAACGGTGTTTAATATACACATGCACGTGCAAAGATTGTTTTAAGGTCATTTTGATCGGTTTTGTGGTAATTACGTTGTGTTTAAAGTGTTTTATATTTAAATCGGCTGTAACTTCGGTTGAGATGGATATTTTTTGATGCGATTAAAACTTTCTTTCATAGAATACTACTAGCTTCGTCCCTGTTACCACGGGCTTTCTAGTCTTACTTATAATTCAGAGAATTCTTTTTGTTTGTTTGTACGACCGCCCACGTGCAAATATATAAGAAATAGGTTTTAACCTATTTTTAGGTTGCAAAATAACCATGGTAACGAGGGTTGTTACTGCCACGTGCACGTGCAATGATTGTTGTTACGATATTTTGATCGGTTTTGTGGTAAGTATGTTGTGTTCAGTGCGAGCTACATTTAATTTGGCTGTTCGGTGGGGATGAATAATTTTTGACACGATTAAAACTGACTTCCAAAGAATACTATTAGGTTCCTCCCTGTGGCCGGTGACCACGGGTTTTCTAGTTCATTAATAACATAATTCATACGATCATACACGTTACCTAATTTTTGTATGTGGGGGAAATAGAAAGAATGTACAATGAGGTTGTATAATATGGATCAGGCGTGTATCAAAAAACAATTGTTAAACTTCCCATCAATTTGTTCATAATATTTGGTAGATAAATCACGCCTTGAGTAGGATCCATAGATACAAAATCAGTTAAGAACGTAAAATCTGACGTGATGATACGTCAGATTCTACGTTATTTTAAGCAGAACACTTGGGAGCTGGGATCGTTACTTACGTCTTTCTTTTTGGGCTCCACAACGACCGTATCTTGAAATTCTTGTTTGAGTAGATAGGTCCGTATTCCCTGTAACTCTGAAGAATAGTGTGTAACTTACTTCCGGGATGAAAAACATACCCTTCAATATGAAATTATAAAATACACGTAGAAATTCTAGAATACTCTATTCTTTTCCAATTCCCTTTAAAATGATTTTGATGACGTCTTAACCCATGACGTCATGCAGTATAGTGCTTTATTAATTAATTAGACTTTATTAGACATATTATATCATATATGAAATAATGCAGTATTATGTAATAATGCTGAATGATACGAGCTACAGCCCGCCCCCTCACGAAATATCATTTAAAGATCATACATCCACCTCACCATTCATACTTTCACTAATGACCGTATTAAAACTATTTTTAGAACAATAACTTTCTCGTTCAACATGAAGCTAATGACATTTTAGCACTATTTTAGGAAAAACTTTTGAGATATCTGAGTTTTTGTCATTGGTACTGATAATCATAATATATGTTGCCAAACAGTAACTCAACTACTTTATCAACAACTTTCTACATGTTAGTTTTTGGCATTTAAATGATAAGCCTTTATCATTACGCGCGATTAAGAAGAGATTTATTGGAACGTGCCTGTTACTAGATGCATTACAATCTACACCCCTTTAACAGGTGTCACCCCTATTACAGTCACGTGACTGAATTCAAACCCCTCTATTGGTTGTTCCCCGGTGCGTTTCATCAGCTTTGTCAGTCATTGGTTGCTATTTTTTTGTTGCTATGGTGACGATGCTAACGGTTCACGACACAGGGCATCATTGTGTCAAAATGGTATATATATATATAATATATTCTGCAGCCTCTAAATGGATATGGAAAAGTGTTTGCAATTACATACAACTCTTCTAAGCGTAGGTAAAAATATAAGTATATTAACTGCCGTGGATCTTAAAACCTTTCCTTGTGTTTCAAATATTATGTGACACTAGTTTAGAGATTCATTTTGTAACGGTCTCGTACAGCATTAGACTAATATTACAAATAAGTGACTTTCAGATTTAAGACTAACATCTAATTAGATTAAAAGCACTTCTTAACGAAAATTAGACGCTTATATCAATTTATGAGACAAGTTAAAATTACGTAACGTTTAGAGTTAAATCATTTAACAGTTGCACTTGCAGTAGCAGTCGAGTGTTCCTCAGATGTCAAATTAAAGATAAGTCGCAACTTACATTAAATTGAAAGTGATCCCGAGCTTGAGAATACCAAATCAACTATAATTAAACACATTTTCGGTGATAGTTATGTCATGAAAATGAGTCTGAAATCTCGTACAGAGAGATTTGTTTGAGTCTGAAATCTTTACATTCACAGATAATTACAAGACAAGGGTTAAAATTTAAACTGGTAGCGTGTGACCAAAACCTGCCTTTTTTGTAAACCACCTCTTAAAACTTTAAAAGCTAAAAACTCTCCATGTGACTCTGAGTTCTATAATCATAGACCTTTGATAGCTTTAAATTTAAAATCAAGTGTGGGGAGATTTAGGCATGATTAAAGCTTGAAGTTTAATATCTATCGTTGGAGGTAGAATCTGAGATTCTAAGAATCCCTCAAATGTTTTTCCGATTTATTTAAAATGGTCATACCTCCCCTAGAATTAAACGTTTAAATTGGTCTTTTGAAGTTTTGAGAGTTCCATTGCAGGTCTCAATATTACATCGTACAATCATAAAACGCATTTCATAAACCGCTACTATATTCAAATAAATCCATACATTAATAATTTGATATCATGAATCCATAATTAATAAATTACTACCACGATTTATTAGATAATTTATTGCATATTATGCTAAGTTCGAGCTGGAGAATTATGTTATTAATATTTGTTAAAGGCACGTCTTACAACCACTAAATTACATATTTTAGCACGTTATAAAACTTTTAATAACGGTTTATCAGTTACTGTACGGTTTGGTGAGGAAATATGATATAAGTTGCACATAATATGGTATTATTTATTCATTTGCACCTGAGCTTAGTGAGTTAGATTATTCTGATTGTGCGTTAATTTTATGCGAATATTATTATATCCTATAATTTGCCAAGCTCAATTCCTTCCAAATTAGATATAGTCCAACTACTGACATTTTGAATTAAAGAACGGTGCAATACTTTAGGATGGATTAAAAATCTTTAAAAGAAAATTAGTACAAACTACCTAGCTCGGTTACATCCGAACCCATCTTACCTAGTTCGCTCTTGGATCCGAACCCCTCCTCTTACCTGGTTCCCTCTTGAATCCGAACCCCTCCTCTTACCTGGTTCCTTCTTGGAACCGAACCCCTCCTCTTACATGGTTCCCTCTTGGATCCGAAGGACCGAACCCCTCCTCTTACCTGGTTCCCTCTTGGATCCGAAGCCCTCCTCAAAGTCCCAGTTGTCTTGCAGACATCCCTTAGTTTTCTCAGAAATGTGAACTCTGCCCTGAAACAAGATTAACATGATATACTGAAGAAACTATTCCTTATCTCCAACTTTGTTCAAAAGTTCAACCAAAAGTGATTTCATCCACAACATTTTAAAAGAAACTCTTTTTGCAGAATAATCAAAGTAAGTCAGCTAATTAGTAAAATTTAGTAATTTCCAAACTTACGGGTACTCCACCAGATTCCATGTAATTCGCCAACTTGGCATCGCTGGACCAAACATCTGATATTGATATCAATTACAAAAGAATGAATAATATCCTGAAACTATTAAACCAGTAAACCACGTTATAATTTGTTCGATGACCCTATTTTAGTGACTCTACAATCTGCAGGTCATATACATAGCTGCAGAATCATTCTTAAATGATTCTGCAAAATACTTGTCACTTATTTAACAAGAATTGCGCCCGTTGTTTCGTTTTGGCGGACGCTAGATTTCCATTTCACATTTACTATAAATTTAAGTATAAGCTCCAATCAGCTCACTTCAATCTTCATAATATTAATAATATTGATAAATTATGCATCAAATACGGGAAAAAATTCAGTTCAATTGCCGTAGAACTTAACTTGTATCTGTAATTCAAGAAATGATCAGCAAAGGTAAACTATACTCGTGTACAAATCAATACACTACGCGTGCCACGTACAAATTGGGCGTATTACCTAATAGTAATATTATACATTACATGCATCATATACATTAAAACACAGTCGCGCCGCGCATTCATAGATCACAGGCTATCTATACATCACATCTCCGCAAGCAATCCTCGCGCGCGCGCAACTTTTTCGTTGCTTGGTAACGGACGGAAGCAAGGAACACGACATACTGACATACTCAGACCCACCTACTGCAATCTCCAAAATCCACGTTTTTCTGCAAAAACCTCCATTCGTAACCTTTCACTATTGCCTTTTTTCAAAAGGGTGAAAAGGAAAAAATAAGTGACAAGTATTCTGGAACAAGAGATACAGATGTTATATCTCAAATTATTAGGCGTTTCCCACTAAAAACAGTGACATCTTAATTAATAATTTTCTACAACAAAATGCGAAGCCTTGGAACATGGCTTAAACTATGAAATTTAAAGATCTCGGGCCATAGCGAAGTGTGTCAAATGTTTGACTGACAGTCATTTGACATACACTTGACATACATTTAACAATGACATACCCTTGACATACATTTAACAATGACATACCCTTGACTGGTTTTGGGCAGGTTAGGTTAATTTGAAGAGACAGCGATATTTAAGAATTTTATTGGTGGCTGGTGCAAACTAATTGCTCAAAACGGGTATTTCACTTTCACTTTCACACTTATTATAGCGGTCGAGTCAAGAACATAAGCCTGGTAAACACATTGTAGTAAACGTACCGTATTTGAACTTGGTACCACCGACAATACCACAGAGGACGATGCCAGTGTGAATTCCAACTCTGATGTCTATACTCTTGTTGCGCTGCTGACAGAACTCTCGTGTCTGAAACAGAGTGGTAGTGAGGGAAGTAGAGGTGAGGGAAGTGAGTCTAGTAGAGTAGAACTTAGAAGGAAGATGGAGAGCTATAGAAGATATTACAGTCAGGTGGAGGGGCCGGCACAGATAGTGTACTATTGGTTAACTGGGTTAGTGTCCCGACCTAACCGCCAAGTAAAGAAGGGCGGTGCGTGGCGGGGTAGGAGGCAGAGTGGGAGAGAGAAAGGTTCATTAGCACTCCACCCAAACTGTGAAACTGCACATTATTAAGTTATAATGAGACATTTTATGCCCCCACACGCAGAGTGCAGACTCCTTCTGGATTACATTGGAGTACGTGGGTGTGTTGAATAAACCTTGTAATAAAATAACGGTACATGGTGATTTGATTACTGACTAGGGAGGCGACCCAGGCCCAGACCCAGGCCCAGAACTATGAACAATGCAAACATACCCTTCACTATACAGATCCAGCTTATAATCGTCATTATGTAGAAATTATCCATTGATTTGTTCCTCTGAAGAGTCTTGTTTCCAGAGAAAAACAAAACAGTCCAGGAATTATGGACTCAGAAACTAAAAAAATAAAAACTGAATCGAATTATGACAATTTCCTAAGAATTCTGGTCGTCGAACAATTGTCGTTAATATCATATTATTCTAAGTTAAGATTTAGCTTCTTTAGCATTTAACATGAAGAATAACGATATGATTATATTATTATTTAATAACTAGTATATTATTATATAAAAATTGATGTCACGTGCCTTTTGAGCTTCAAGGCGAACAGTTGATATCCGATCAGCTCTTTAAAATCATGCACATATTTGATATTTCATTAGTTTTAAGATACATTAGATAAATTATTCTAAATAAGTATATCAAACAAGTAAAGTACAATAGTTATGTAATTTGAGGAAGTAAAGGAAGTCTTTTTGAGTTTCGACACCGTCATCAAATTGAGCTCACACAGTCACATTAAACTGCTTTGTAATTCAATCAATATAACTTGATAGTTGATAACCAAGGCCAAGAAGCTCCTTATCATTTTATATGTAAAAAATCTAATCATTAAAATATTATACTGGATTCCAACCAGCCTACTTGCGGATCTGGTAACAATCTCGTATAAAAAACACTTCCGCCAGGGTTTGAGACTTTGAATACCTCAAGGGACCCAACAAAAACAAATTTGGCTTGGGTAGAAATTTTTACTATTGTGCTATTGGTACATTTTTGCAAAATCAAAATAACTCGGCTTCTGATTGGATTAAGAAGCTCAACTTGGGCATAAAACATCTCAAGACCTCAGGTTGTTGACTTATATTGTCACGATTATTTGAGCTCTAGCAGTAGCAATTACAGAAGGCCCTATATAGCCCTAATTATAGCCGATTTTATGGAGTTGGGACCCAATAATAGTGTGATGCTGGTGGAGACCATGTGATCCCATTTGTGACTCAAATTAAAACCCCAATTTACCGTACTGTTAACTGTACTACTTTCCTTTTATCGAAGTGAACGGCAAATCGGGGTTTTAATGTATTCGGTTGACTATGAGCACTATATTGAAGCAGTAAGTACACTAGGGGGTTGCCCCCCCCCCCCCCCCCCCCTAAACTAACATAATGCCATAATTTTGGATATTTTAATGTCCAGCCTCCATCATGATCAGAAACCGAGATATTTCATATCATCTTGTATTAAGTGCGTCAATTGCTATTCTGATAGCTATGTTGGTTCGCGTGTAATTTCCAAACCGCTTAGTCAACAAAACGGTAAGAGTTAGGGGACTGGTTTTTCGGTATAATGCCGGCAAAACGCTGAGATGGTGCTCTTTATTATAACATGTATAAGGGCAGATCGATCTGAAATATATACGAGGTCTAATTCGATCACGACACTTTGCTCCTCAGTCTGGGTAAGGGAGCGATTCTACCTTGATGCTATTAACCGGCCACCCTGACATCATGCATGCTACTAACTTTAGGGAACTTTAATTGGACCACAACATTTAGTTTCGATAAATTTAGTTTCGATAAATTTAGTTTCGATAAATTTATTTCGATAAGTTTATTTCGATAAATTTATTTCGATAAATTAAGTCTGTTCTCTTCATCCTCAGTGGCAATGTTTCATAATTTTGTTTTAGGTATTTTATACTTATTCTGTCACTTGAAATTTTACAAACGTATCTCGATTGCTTGATGCAGGTTTTAGACTGAGCAGGTTTAGCAAATACGAAATTGAAATCCCGGTCGAAGATCGGGTAACACTAGTAATATATAATATGAGTAGTTCAGGGGACGTTTAAATTAAACAGCGACTAGTATCAAATTGTTCACTCCAACATCCCACCATCAGCATTCCCAGCATTCCAAAGTCTTATCCGCATTTATTTTGCTCCAATCTTCGTATCTTACATAGTGGGCTTATGTTTTAACCTTTGTAATAATGTTCTAGTTTACTGCGACACTATAACAGCACACTACAGCACACCGAGACTAAAGGGTGTGCAAATTGTAAAGAACCGCTCTGTTACTGTGTGATTTGTGAATATTCGCTGAGTTTTAAGTTTGGTTTCCGGTGATCTGTTAGAATCTAAGCTATCTTTGCAGGGTTTGGAGTAGTTGAGAAGCACTTATCAAACCACAAAAGTGCGGTTAGCTAGGCTGCCATATGTACATTTTATGATCACAAAGGTTTGCCTTGTAACATTTATTACCTCGTGCAGGGCATGACAGCATTAGTAATTCTGTTTAAGGTATAAGAGTGATATTATTGGATAAGGGATGTTTTGTAAATTAGTAACCCACTACCAAAAATATTACTATTAGGTTGTAACTGCAACTGTAATGTAAATAGCGTTCTCAAGAAATGCCTTTTTTGTTTAACACTTCCTGGCTCAAACAAACATAGGAGAAACATGACCACTCAACATTAGCAAAGTGCTGGTCAGTTTGTAGAGACAAACTTGAAAATGATAACAAAAATATTTCCTTGTGTTTGACTTACAGCATTGATGAGTCCTACTCCCGTGTACATACAGTTGTCCGCGTGTCTTTCGTCAGCTTCTGGGCATCCTGTTAAAAGTTAGAGCTAATTAAACGATAATTAGATGAATCGAGCGTTAATTAGGAAGTAAGAGAATTAATTATTCCTGCGTTTCTAATTAGAGGAGCGAGTGGGAGCTCAAGTGAAGACTATTTAGTGACACTATTATCATTACCAGACAGGGTATAATTACTCGTTATATGCAGGATAATTACTCGTTATATGCAGGATAATTACTCATGTTATCTGCAGATAATAGGATAATGAGGCAAGGTACCATCTTCTCACTAACGACCACCGGACACGGGTTTGATCTGATTTTACAGTGATCTGCCTTGATTTCTAAAAATAGCCCTTTAAACACACATGTACACGGTATCTTAGTTGACCACTGGTATACAGACCACGTACTCTTATTTTAAATTATGGATGATTAAGTACGGTATTTACTTAAATAGCTCATGTTTTAGTATAAACAGCTCGTGTACAGGTATGTCTTGGTTAAATACGGATATGGGCACTATGGATTTATTTGCTATATATTTGGCACCTTGCCAAGTGTGGCACTAATACACGTTGATAGGTACAGTATGTTTTTATAACAAAAATGTCATTAATACGCACAACCTACTACAGTAAACCCCCGATTTGCCGCGTCCCTATTTACCCTGTTTTAACAAGACTGTTCCCCCAAACTCCACGGTGGGTTTTATTGTAGTACTAGGGAGAGATCTTACATAGCCAGTATCATTATATTACTTCATATTATTGGAGGAAATAAAATCACTTCTAATTACAATTAACGTATAATGTATTTTATATAGGATATTATCACATTAATAGCCTGACAATGTGCCTGATGTAATTTTAAGTGGTATATACCTGACACTACATTGTGCACTTTAATGAGTATACGTTACAGGTGATGTATTTTATACTGTACTAACCATATTATAATATAATTAATATTGTAATAGAGTGTCTCAGAAATATTCCTCTTAATTTGTCATCAGGAAAGGTTATGGTAAATTCAAAATCGTTTACCTTAGTTCCCAAAAATTTGAGCGACGAAGAATGGCAAATAAATTACATTAATGGCACTGACTATCAATCGCCAATATTGCCTATAATATAACATTACCATCATGATTACATTATATTATTATACCATCGAATATTAATACTTGAACTTTTAGTTAAAGTTAACTTATCTTAGTATTATAATTAGTAAACTCTAATCTGATAGAAGACTAATCAAATTATTGTAAGATTGCTCACTTAACTCTATAGACTCTCAGCAACATTTTGATTGGTCCTTACCATACTTATAAAATAATTGTAACCAGTAACCAGTAACCAGTAACCAGTAACCAGTAACCAGTAACCAGTAACCAGTAACCAGTAACCAGTAACCAGTAACCAGTAACCAGTAACCAGTAACCAGTAACCAGTAACCAGTAACCAGTAACCAGTAACCAGTAACCAGTAACCAGTAACCAGTAACCAGTAACCACATACTGTACCTGATACAGCGAAGTAACAATCACCCAGGATACTGATATTCTCACAGTTGTACGCCTCAGCAACACAGTCGAATCTGCCGTACAGATCGGTTAACAGGTCCACCAGCTCAGGGGCTAGTAACTGCAGGGAACTTGGTGTTATCTTAAAAGGAGATGTACAGATAACAGGAATATCTTTCTAACGCTGCTTTGGATTACAGATAAGAATATAAGAAGATAAGAAAATTGTCAATACATGACCGCTCATCCAATTCTACCGTCGCATAGTATCCATAAAATAAACACCAGTCAAAAACACAACCCCCTCTTAACTTACCGTACTACTTATAGCAGTGAACCCCCACCCCTTACTTACATGACAGTACTACTCATAGCAGTGAACCCCCACCCCTTACTTACATGACAGTACTACTCATAGCAGTGAACCCCCCACCCCTTACTTACCGTACTAATCATAGCAGTGAACTCCCCACCCCTTACTTACCGTACTACTCATAGCAGTGAACCCCCACCCCTTACTTACCGTACTACTCATAGCAGTGAACCCCCACCCCTTACTTACCGTACTAATCATAGCAGTGAACTCCCCACCCCTTACTTACCGTACTACTCATAGCAGTGAACCCCCACCCCTTACTTACCGTACTACTCATAGCAGTGAACCCCCACCCCTTACTTACCGTACTACTCATAGCAGTGAACCCCACCCCTTACTTACCGTACTACTCATAGCAGTGAACCCCCACCCCTTACTTACCGTACTACTCATAGCAGTGAACCCCCCACCCCTTACTTACAGTACTACTCATAGCAGTGAACCCCCACCCCTTACTTACAGTACTACTCATAGCAGTGAACCCCCACCCCTTACTTACCGTACTACTCATAGCAGTGAACCCCACCCCTTACTTACAGTACTACTCATAGCAGTGAACCCCCACCCCTTACTTACAGTACTACTCATAGCAGTGAACCCCCCACCCCTTACTTACAGTACTACTCATAGCAGTGAACCCCCACCCCTTACTTACCGTACTACTCATAGCAGTGAACCCCACCCCTTACTTACCGTACTACTCATAGCAGTGAACCCCACCCCTTAGGCCCTTACTTACCGTACTACTCATAGCAGTGAACCCCCCTTACTTACCGTACGGCGTACTACTCATAGCAGTGAACCCCACCCCTTACTTACCGTACTACTCATAGGCCATAGCAGTGAACCCCACCCCTTACTTACAGTACTACTCATAGCAGTGAACCCCCACCCCTTACTTACAGTACTACTCATAGCAGTGAACCCCCCACCCCTTACTTACAGTACTACTCATAGCAGTGATCCCCACCCCTTACTTACCGTACTACTCATAGCAGTGAACCCCACCCCTTACTTACCGTACTACTCATAGCAGTGAACCCCACCCCTTAGGCCCTTACTTACCGTACTACTCATAGCAGTGAACCCCCCTTACTTACCGTACGGCGTACTACTCATAGCAGTGAACCCCCACCCCTTACTTACCGTACTACTCATAGCAGTGAACCCCACCCCTTACTTACCGTACTACTCATAGCAGTGAACCCCACCCCTTAGGCCCTTACTTGCCGTACTACTCATAGCAGTGAACCCCCCTTACTTACCGTACGGCGTACTACTCATAGCAGTGAACCCCACCCCTTACTTACCGTACTACTCATAGCAGTGAACCCCACCCCTTACTTACCGTGCTACTCATAGCAGTGAACCCCACCAGATCAGCGTACAAAATAGATACAGGCTCCATCAGGTTGATAGGTAGGTTCCTCATCATATACTCCGGGTCCTTACACAGGACTGAGTCGTGTAAAACACCACTCTCTAGGATCTGGTGACACACTGCTTCCGGCATTATGGACTTTATCAACCTGTAGAGATGGCATTATGGGGTCTTTCACATATTACGTAATCAGCCGAGGGGGGAGGGGGTTTTCAAATGATTATGCTATTGAAATTTTACCACAATAGCTATGTGTAAAACTGATTACGGAGGGGGTTAAAAATTAGCCAAACATTGATTACATAATATATGTGAACGACCCCTTATAGACTTTATTAGTCTGAACAAGTGTAAAGATGGCCTTACAGACTGTATCTTGGTAAAGCTGCATTTCTTAATAATGTGGGAACAGCTGAACAACTTTCCGTTCTCTTAATGATAGTGAAAATTATATATTTCCAGTAAAAATAGAAAATGATTTACGTAGTTTTAAACGTCTTGGAATGACTACTTTATGCACCATTAATTGTTCCAGAAACAGAGAGATCGTCTCACAAACAACAGAACCTTGAGACAAAACTACAACCATCCCGCGTGACAAAACTACGAGAGTGATCATTGTAAGTGTTAGCCACTCACTATAGTAACTACCCTTAAACCACATAACTTTGGCGGCAATAAAATACGATATAATTCCGCCAAGATGAACTGCAAGATCCAGATAATATTGCGAAGTGAAAATCCTCGCTGCAGCCTGCAAGACTGTTAACCATACTGCACTGTGCTGAGAAAATAAATTTAACTGGCAATTTATTGATTAACTATGAGACAGGTGGAATCCCAGTATTAAATTGACTGGTTTGTAACCAGTCGTGACACAGACAATGTAATCTACCAGGTCAATTACCAGCACATCGGAGTGAGAGAGAAGGTAAACATGACCGTGTATTATATGTACTTAATATAGGCTAGATAGTAGTGCACAGCTTGAACCCCCCTATAATTGTATATCTACAGCTTGAACCCCATCCTCTAATAGTATATCTACAGCTTGAACCCCATCCTATAATTGTATATCTACAGCTTGAACCCCATCCTATAATTGTATATCTACAGCTTGAACCCCATCCTATAATTGTATATCTACAGCTTGAACCCCATCCTATAATTGTGTATCTAAAGCTTGAACCCCATCCTATAATTGTATATCTACAGCTTGAACCCCATCCTATAATTGTATATCTACAGCTTGAACCCCATCCTATAATTGTGTATCTACAGCTTGAACCCCATCCTATAACACACATAACCCCGGCATGCGCAGGGATTATATTTCAATTTTTCCCGCGACGCGCGGGAAAAGTTTATAATAATTTCGAGTGCGAAGCACGAGGGATTATTATGAAAATAACCCCGACGTGCTTTAGCACGAGGGGTTATTTTGATATAACTTAAGCGTGCCGGTGTTATGTGTTATAAACCCATCCGGGTTAGTGCTAGGACCAACAAATTTGACATTTTACTCTTAATTCTAGCTATATGAGATCAGTATGGAAAATATGAAATGGAATTGGGGACTACCAAATAAATACAACTAAGGTACCATGACATTTGAAATTGGCGTTATATCTAAACATTATTCCTCAGTCAGAACGTTGAATGAATATCGATAAGGGGCGTCGAGTTTCAGTTAAGCCTGGCAAGCGATAAAAGGTGGAGCTAATAATGATATCGTGTCATGAAGTTCATCAAAGTAGACGACTATAATTGATAATACATGGCTTATATCAAACACGACAAAATTAACCGCACAAATGTAACCGTCGAGACAAGTTCTGGAACTGGCCCAAGTAATGTAAGAGTTTAGGTAATGTAAGCAGTGTGCTGGAGTTTTGCCAGCGCCTGCAATTAGACCGATACGTAGATCAAGCGTATTTATAGTTCTTACGTTAAGCCATAGGTCACGTGACATTTTTTACCATGAATGCGCGTCGTAGTAGTTAGTCACGTGATACACGTCATCAAAACACGTGACAGTGCGCGGTTGAAATTCTCATGGAATATCAAAACAAAACAAATCTTGTTGAGCCAAATTAGCGGGGCGGGATTATAGAAGCTGTGCTGGGGTTATTTATTCAGCGGGAAAAAACTAACAGCGGGAGCCGGGATTATCAGAATCTATCTAGCGGGAGCCGGGATTATCAGAATCTTATTCTAACCCGGAGGGGTTTATAATTGTATATCTACAGCTTGAATCCCATCCTATAATTGTGTATCTACAGCTTGAACCCCATCCTATAATTGTATATCTACAGCTTGAACCCCATCCTATAATTGTTATCTACAGCTTGAACCCCATCCTATAATTGTTATCTACAGCTTGAACCCCATCCTATAATTGTATATCTACAGCTTGAACGCTATCCTATAATTGTATATCTACAGATTGAACCCCATCCTATAATAATTGTATATCTCGCCCTGAACCCGTGAGAGAGACTGTGATATCATTGTGAGCCAGGGACAAAAGGATTTCGCGGCATGTACGAAATCGCGAAATTTCCCATTCTCCGCGACAAATTTTATGCATAGTTTAATATACCGCGAAATGTAATTCGCGGTATCGCGATTTTCGGCCAAAATTACCGCGAAATCCTTTTGTCCCTGTTGTGAGCTGATATCTCTCATTAATACACCCTGATAGTGGTGTTATTGGAAAAGTGGTGAAAGGTAATTACAGGGAACTATTAGCTCCTGGGTTGTAGAACACGGCATCCACTCATGATCAAATATAGGATTACAACACTAATCCTACAAATGTGCACCGAGTGGTGTGTAATTTAAATTATAAATTACAAATTGGATGTGCTGAGAGATACGGTTAGAGCCAGAGGGAATTCCTCCTCGCTGAAAACCCTGCCGCTCACCACAGACATGTTGACATGTTGAATTAAATCTGTTGCCAAACATCCCTCAAATTACTCTAAATGTACAGTACAAATTGAGCTGGCAGAAGGTTTTGGGGGGGTTGCTAGTCTTTCTTATAAAAGGGTAGTAGAGAAACAAAGTGTTGACGCTAGGCTGTACGGTAGTATACTATACTGACAGACCCATATCATCACTCCTGGTGATGCTGTTGAGTGAATTACCTCACACTTCTACCACACCGTGAACTGATTATCAGATATCGGCATTTCTTATCGAAAGGAGGCGGACTTGATGATATGCCGTTACGGTGTAGGGTAGGATAATGGAACTGCGTAATCACAGATTCTGATAAACCGGACACTTGATAAATAACAAAAAAGGGTCGTTTCACTTAAATTATTCCATCGCTTAAAACCATCAAAAAAATAAACTGAATTTTCTAAGGTAAAACTTCTAAAAGAGAATCAAAACACTTTCACTTTCACTTACACTTCTTTGAGAAGGGTTTCTCCAAGAGCATCCTGTCTACTTATCAGACTTCGACCAATCTTGTAAAACACTCGCCGCCTGAAAGAGATGTAGGTTTATAAAATAGTTTCTTTATCATGTACATAAATTGTGTGTAAGGTACAGTTATATTATATATATACTATGTGCTATATTTTCCAGATTTCTCTCTTTCTCCTTGGTTACGAATTCAAGGTTTACTCCTGCTCAATGTTAACGTCTGGACTCTGGCCCACTGCCAAGGTATCAGATTTACTATATTATAAACCCCTCCGGGATAGAATAAGATTATGATAATCCCGGCTCCCGCTAAATAGATTCTGATAATCCCGGCTCCCGCTGTTAGTTTTTTCCCGCTGAATAAATAACCCCGGCACAGCTTTTATAATCCCGCCCCGCTAATTTGGCTCAACAAGATTTGTTTTGTTTTGATATTCCATGAGAATTTCAACCGCGTACTGTCACGTGTTTTGATGACGTGTATCACGTGACTAACTACTACGACGCGCATTGGTAAAAAATGTCACGTGACCTATGGCTTAACGTAAGAACTATAAATACACTCGATCTACGTATCGGTCTAATTGCAGGCGCTGGCAAAACTCCAGCACACTACATTACTTAAACTCTTACATTAATTGGACCAGTTCCAAAACTTGTCTCGACGGTTACATTTGATTTTGTCCGGTTCGGTTAATTTTGTCGAGTTTGATATAAGCCATGTATTATAATCGTCTACTTTGATGAACTTCATGACACGATTAGATATCATTATTAGCTTTTATCGCTTGCCAGGCTTAACTCGACGCCGGCCCTTATCGATATTCATATTCATTCAACGTTCTGACTGAGGAATAGTGTTTAGATATAACGCCAATTTCAAAAGTCATAGTACCTTAGTTGTATTTATTTGGAAGTCCCCAATTCCATTTCATATTTTCCATAATGATCTCATATAGCTAGAATTAAGAGTAAAATGTCAAATTTGTTGGTCCTAGCACTAACCCGGAGGGGTTTATAACACATAACACCGGCACGCTTAAGTTATATTAAAATAACCCCTCGTGCTAAAGCACGTCGGGGTTATTTTCATAATAATCCCTCGTGCTTCGCACTCGAAATTATTATAAATTTTTCCCGCGCGTCGCGGGAAAAATTGAAATATAATCCCGCGCATGCCGGGGTTATGTGTGTTGTAATATTCTTATCACAGAGGATCAGTACATAATGTGAACAATTAACACTACAGACCACCACTACAGTACATGAGTCACAGTTTACAGTGCATTGTATTACAGTGCACAGTTTACAGTGCATTGTATTACAGTGCACAGTTTACAGTGCATTGTATTACAGTGCACAGTTTACAGTGCATTGTATTACAGTGCACAGTTTACAGTGCATTGTATTACAGTGCACAGTTTACAGTGCATTGTATACAATATTAAAAAGTCCCCCGCAGTGCTAGATACTTAATATTGGTGTAGTAATTGGGGCTGATGCCCCCTTTTGTCGGTGATAACCCCCTTTGTAGAGATAGACCCTTTGTTAATGAGCCAGGGTAGGATTATAATAGCGGGTACACTGTTCAGGTCATAATAATTGGTATCATTTAGGGACTACAATACTTATCCTACTTAGTTTATTAATTGCTTTTTAAGGATCACAATACTTACATTACTTTGATTATTCATTGTTATTAAGGTTAATCAGTAGTCGGACCAAGTTGTTCATCTCTAAAACAGGCTCATATAACTATGCATATAACTATGCATATAAATTATTATGCATATAAATTATTATGCATGCTCTGCATAATTTAATATCTGGTTCATTCACCCGGTTACAATGAAGCTAAGACTGAGAAATAGCCGCCAGCCGGGTTATATGGCCGACTCCTCGACGGTGTCTGATCATCCCGGTCTAAATATTACTGAATATCGTATCGCGTGTATGACTAAGTCTACCAAACTTGCGCTTTGACTGCGATATTAAACCAAGCAAGAATTAGAGTTAGGGGATTGGTTGCTCGATTTGCGTGAGAAAGCGTCATTACAAAATTAAAGGGCCCAGGTGAGGCCTTCTTTAGAATTTAGTGTGCGATCAAAGAGCATGTAGCTAGCGTATTGACAATATATTATTATACACGTGTTAATTGTTTACTGTACACCCACACTACACATTAGTGATATTGAGAGGGCCCAACCCCTAGTTTTACTATTTACAGTACAATGTGCTTGCATATAATCATCAGACAATGTACTTCCTGCTCCTTTATCAAATATATTATATTCTACAATCTACCCACCTCACACGAACCTTTACAACCACGTGCTCACGTGCTGCTCACACTATAAAAAAACGTACAATATAAAACAGCTTCTAGTTTAACCTGCAGAGTTTAGTTCCAGAACCTTCTGGGGGCTAAACGTGTCAGTTATCGATTGGAGATTATAACCCCGCCAGAGACGAAGAGAGCGTTCCTGTCGCAGTCGGTAGTGGTGGGGACGTGACGCACGTGTGCTAGCGATTGATCGATCAGCTTGCAACTCAGCCAATCAGTGGGCAGCATCAGCCAATCTAATATAAAATCACTGGCACGTGTCCAAACAAACGTGCGTCATCTCTCCACCCATTATCCACGTTCACATTGGTTTCGCTAATTTCTAGGTTTATTCAACCTTTAGTTACCACTGTTCGCGTCTAATCCTATTGCTGTGATTCTTATCCTTCATGTAAATGAGTTTGGTGTCAGCAATTATCCTTCTACCACCTACAACAAGAGCCTGTAACCAGCACCACGGACAAAGGATACTCAGAATCTCAACAACTCAGAAGATACTGTCTGCCATACTCATAGAATCGGGCTAACTCTATTCACAGGTTAGTCAGGCAGTGGCCCACACTCTGTTGATATCTCTTTAGGGAGATTTGAGGTCTCTCAACCTTACTTAGTTGAGTGTGTCCCATAACCAAGCATCTTGCCTAGAAGTCCAGCGTTATATATTATTATAATGATCCTGGACCTAAGTGTAGCTCTAGATAACAAAACAAAACAAAAATATTACTATAATGATTTATCTCTGAATATTATCCTATACATGTTTAATATAATATAAACTTTGCAATAAGTTTCCCCCGATTGTCCGATTAACAATATACTCCAAGTAATTTTAAAATCTGGGCCCATTATACAATACACGGATCAGTGAAGGCTGCACCGGCTGTGGTGCAGTGCTTGACTTCCCTCATTTGCCGCAGAAAGCTGTATCTTACAGTGTATCCGGAGAAATGTCTTTAAGTGGGCGGGAGGTATAATGAGCATTGAGCAACAGTATTCAAACCAACACAATATCTGTTAAATCCTTTTCATATCCAAGATCGAAGGTGAGTTTAAATCAACTATTTGTTGAACTCCGACAATACGAGTTGATATTTGGGGATCTAATCATATAGCTTCTGATCATAATAATGATGATCTTGATAACGTAAGTATCAAGTGATAATTATATGGACTCCTTGATACCAGTCACTAGAAAATATGTTCACACGTGCGATCCCAAAACCAAGGTTATTTTGTGAAGGAGTACACGTGCTGGTTACATGGTATCTAGTTGAGCCGTGTATATCAGGGTGCTATCTCTACACAATAGGCACCCTAGTACAAGAGCCGGCAGTGTAAGTCGAAGCACCTGTAATTAGTACACACTGTTCAGTGTTCAAGGTATTGCAATTCTGCAGAAGTTTTAAATGTCAGCTTGGTGAGCAGCCCGGCAGATCACTAGTAGTTCAACATTTACATTTCAGTATTATTAATATAACAGCAGCAAACATTGTCCTATTTGAATATTAAAAATCTAGCTATATATAGATCTGAACAATTATCCTCATTCATCCTGCACCTTGGTCCTGGTATTATGGTTTAACGTATCACGCTGTATTACAACAATACAACTCATGATAGCACCTCAGCCTTATGAGTTATGACAATGTATTCAAGTTAACTCATATCTATGACAATATCATAACTCAAAGCACCGACTAATTTTACTTTGACAGCTCCAGACATGCTCTTTAAAACATGTCATGGAGGCTGAGACAAGCAGTATCTTGCAAAGTGCGGTATATCAGGGGGCAACTTGAAGTTAACCTACACTATTCCTATACTACTCACTAAGCTAATTGCTACACTACTTGCTATTCAGTTTTAGTGGAATCCAACATTTAATTGTTTTCTGTAGTACTTTATATTCACCCAATTTGCGTAACGTTCCCGCGTTTTAATGGGGAGACACGTGATCAACCCGCACTGCGTGGTGGAACTCATTATTTCAGGTTTTAATCATGTTTTGGAAAGATAAGTAAAAACGGCTGGTTTTGGGTTACAGAGAATGTTTGCGTTGAGTATAACGCAATGACAAAGATAAGAAAGTTCATGAATCTAGAGTATTGGATGTCGCACTTTGCTGAACTGTTTGACATTTGCTTGATATGAGAATTGTAACGCTTGTAACGGCGCTTGTAGCGCTGGTTTTTGTAACCGTTACAACAGCTGATGAGCCCGATATTGATATAAATCACGCAGATGTGGACACGTAAGTTGGAACTAAAGTCTAGGAGATTTATTTTGAATTGAGATTAATTATTCCAAAACAATCAGTAGATTAATACGCACATAATATTGAAAAATACTTTTGGTTTTGCCGTTCAAGAAATTTGATTTGATTGGATTACAAAAACACGTAGCTTTTGTTAAAGCTTGTTTCAAAAATATGTTTCAAAAGGGTGGCCTTCTGCGCTTAAAACGTTTAAACAGAGTGGTATCGGGTGAGCGTGAGGTCGATAAATCAAAGTATTTTTCCCTACTCCATAATTTTAACCAAACGGTTGACAATTTACAGACCACAATTCACTCAGCTTTGCGAACGTCACACAAGTTTGAACTCTAGATATTATTAAAAAGTATTAGCCAGAAAGACAGCCCACCTTGATCAATATTTCATTCAATAAGCTAATAAAACCCAGATATTTTATCTTATTACACTAACTAATATATCTGACTAGCGTGCAGCTGTCCTAATATTCCTCTCTCTCTCTCCACGTACTTAGGCCGTCAGATGAGAAGGTTCCAGGACACGAAGGAACTATAACGGTCCACGTGGTGGCTCACACTCATGACGATGTTGGGTGGCTCAAGACCGTGGATCAGTACTACTACGGGTCTAAAGATGATATCTACAAGGGTGGGGTGAGTTTCACAAGGGTGGGGCGAGTTTCACAAGGGTGGGGTGAGTTTCACAAGGTTGGGGTGAGTTTCACAAGGGTGGGGTGAGTTTCACAAGGGTGGGGTGAGTTTCACAAGGGTGGGGTGAGTTTCACAAGGGTGGGGTGAGTTTCACAAGGTTGGGGTGAGTTTCACAAGGGTGGGGTGAGTTTCACAAGGGTGGGGTGAGTTTCGCAAGGGTGGGGTGAGTTCACAAGGGTGGGGTGAGTTTCACAAGGGTGGGGTGAGTTTCGCAAGGGTGGGGTGAGTTTCGCAAGGGTGGGGTGAGTTTCACAAGGGTGGGGTGAGTCTAACAAGGGTGGGGTGAGTTTCACAAGGGTGGGGTGAGTTTCACAAGGGAGGGGTGAGTTTCACAAGGGAGGGGTGAGTTTTACAAGGGAGGGGTGAGTTTCACAAGGGTGGGGTGAGTTTCACAAGGGTGGGGTGAGTTTCACAAGGGTGGGGTGAGTTTCACAAGGTTGGGGTGAGTTTCACAAGGCTGGGGTGAGTTTCACAAGGGTGGGGTGAGTTTCACAAGGGTGGGGTGAGTTTCACAAGGGTGGGGTGAGTTTCACAAGGGTGGGGTGAGTTTCACAAGGTTGGGGTGAGTTTCACAAGGGTGGGGTGAGTTTCACAAGGGTGGGGTGAGTCTTACAAGGGTGGGGTGAGTTTCACAAGGGTGGGGTGAGTTTCACAAGGGTGGGGTGAGTTTTGCAAGGGTGGGGTGAGTTTCACAAGGGTGGGGTGAGTTTCACAAGGGTGGGGTGAGTTTCACAAGGGTGGGGTGAGTTTCACAAGGGTGGGGTGAATTTCACAAGGGTGGGGTGGGTCTAACAAGGGCGGGGTGAGTTTCACAAGGGCGGGGTGAGTTTCACAAGGGTGGTTTGAGTCTCACAAGGGCGGGCTGAGTCTCACAAAGGAGGGGGAAATCTCACAAGAGTGGGGTGAGTCTCTCAAAGGAGGGGGAAAGTCTCACGGGTCACATTTTAATATGAACCTACAATGTTGGTGCTGCTGATATGCTTACATTTTTGGATACCTTACTCGGGAATATTATAGCGGGTTAATTTATGACTGGGAAAATTAATAACCGGTAAAAATATGGCGGAATTTCCCAAAACCCGCCAAATTATCCCGGTCATGTATTTACCGGTGGCCGACCTTTCAAGTTTTTTTTTCAGAGGTCAACAAATTTTCAACCGAAATTTCTGTTTTTGTTACTTGTTAAAGAAGTTATTTCAATTTACAGTTACTGATATTACTCAGAAATAGAAAAAAAAGACACGTCTAGTATTTAAAGGAAAATAAATCTATAGCAATAATAAGTCAAATCTTCATTAAAGCGTATTCTCATTCTCATTATCGCTAATGTCCCCTCCATCATCATTATTGATATCCCCCTGCTGCTGACCGTCAAATTCGAAGTTGTATTGTTGTCTTAACAAGACTTTCATTTTGTCCGCTAATGGGGCTACTGCTCTGAAGGTCAGCCGGAGCTTAATTTCCTACCCACCGCTTGGTATTGGGGAACGTCTTGGCTTTGCATCTTCAGCTGCTCCAGTAATCAATCCACCGTGGACCATGAAATAGTGGCACAGTTTACTCACTTCATGGGCAAGAAAAGTGAGAATCACGGTCCACCCTGAAATCTGATTTCTATAACCAAATTGTGATTTTTATAACGAAATTATGGTAGCAACCGCCAATAAAGTTACAGCCCTCCATCCACTGCTTCAAAAGTCTTCTCTAGCACATATGAGACTTCAGGTAAAATATGATGATCACCACCCCCTTGGAACCCCATAATCTGAGTCGGCGGGTTTTTTTATGACTGGTGAAATTTTTGACCGGGAAAAATATGGCGGAATCTTCCAAAACCCACCACTTTATCCCGGTTATAATAATCCCGAGTAAGGTAGACCTTAGCATTGTAATGGGGAGGCCGGGAGGGATGATTATAAGACTTGCCAGGTTTTCTTCAGAATAAATCATTCTCGAGATGGTTTTTCTGTACAATATCGATCATTTGAACCACAGTTTCAATAAGCTAGTTTCTTCCAGGTACAGTACATAATAGACACTGTCATAGAGCAGCTGGTAAAGGATCCTAAGAAGAAGTTTATCTACGTGGAGATAGCGTTCTTTAAGAGATGGTGGGAGGAACAAGACAAGGAGACCAGACAGCAGGTCAGGAACCTGGTCAAGGGGGGACAGCTCGAGTTCATCAACGCGGGGTTAGTCTCAGACAAATATATATTATAACTTCTTATAACGGGAATCATGATTTTCTTCTATGTTTGTATAATAATATTAAGTAGATGATGGACTTTTACAATATTATTGTAGTTAAACCATGTCCAGGTACTGTATGAACGATGAAGCGAGTGTTCACTACGCAGCAACAATAGACCAGATGAGTGAAGGACTGATGTGGTTACAGAGGGAGGTTGGAGGACCTGACTATGATGTTACCCCCACCATCGCTTGGCAGGTCAGATAGTATAACACTGCTCCAAATCTTTCAAATCAAAATTCTTTGCAGTCAAGTACTGCTCAGTGTGGTCGTGAATTTTTCTTAGTTCTTAAGTTGTTTGCGTCATCCTCAAGTCTCTGAGACTTTTTCTCAGCTGAAGTTGTTGTACTGTTGTATCTATCATCACTCCGCGAAATTCTCTGTTTTTGTCTTTTTGTGTGTTTTTTGTATTCTCACAGTCTCACCTCATTGCTGAAACCTATTCAATCTAGATAGATCCGTTTGGACACAGTTCAGCACACGCAGCTCTCAGTGCTCAGATGGGTATGAAGGGACTATTCTTTGCTAGGATGCATTATCAGGACTATGATAAAAGAAAGAGGAACAAAGAGTGAGTAATCAGTAAACATACAATATATTGTGTGTAACAATATATTATATCTCATTCATCTTGCTTGCTTAATCAATTTGGCAACTTTTAAGTACCCTAAAGCCGTATAAGTGCTCTAGTAGCAATCAAATCAAACAATGCAAATGTATTATTGTATTTTGTAATATAATGTTCTATTCACTCTATTGCTGCGGAAACAAATCACAGTATGACCATGAGAGAACAACACTTTCAGTCTAGAATTTAACTGGAAAGTGGAAAATGGGAACTTGTTCACCGGTGTCCTGTATCGACACTACAATGCACCCCCAAGGTTTAACTTCGACCGTAGAGGGGTTGACCCCCCAATGGTCAGGAACCCCCAATCTCCTGAGTACAATATCCCAGAGAGAGTTGAGGACTTTGTTTCTTATTTGGAGGAACAGGTTATTTTTGTTGGGTGTCGTGAGAAAATAGGGCTTAATGGCCTTCTTGGATGCAACGGCAGACACCATGTAAAATGTAAACTGTAAACTGACTTTCAACAATAATTGTTAAGACCACAATACGTGATATTATGTCACACCACGTGATATTATGTCACACCACGTGATATTATGTCACACCACGTGATATTATGTCACACCATGTGATATTATGTCACACCACGTGATATTATGTCACACCACGTGATATTATGTCACACTTCCCCAGTCTAGAATACCGGTGGCTGAGCATGGAGAGTGACACCTCAATCTTCACACACGTTATGTGGGATATGTATTGGGCACCCTCCGGTTTCTGTTTCGATACAGCCTGTAGCGACCCCGCCCACCCCTGCAGATTTCGTCGATTTCAGGTGCCGACAGGACCATAAAAATTAAAAGCAAACTTAAATTTTCGCCCCTAAAATCGAGCGCTTTCTGCGCAAAAAATTGACCTCAACAGAAAAAATTAAACATGGCTTCAAATCCAAATTTGAACCAGAGATTTTTCACTTCCTCTCGATAAACTCAATTTTCAACCCAAAATAAAGTCTCAAAGGGGGAAATTACTCAGGTCAGGATTGTAGGCAATGATTATGCCAAACCATACATTTTTGTAAATTCATTAAACTTTCAATTTAGCCTAAAACACCCTATAATTTCGCAAAATTTTCCCCCCTAGCCCCCGCCAATGGGGTCCGCCCCCAGACCCCTGCCACAGCTTGCAGCTCCGCTCGCCGACAGCCCCCCCCCCCCCCCCCCCAAAGAAAAATCTTGGCTACGTGCCTGAGCAAAATATAGGTTTAGGGCTTTTCAGATGATTTGGCTCCTCAACAGATACCGACGTACATAACGGTCAATATGTAGTTTAGGTTTACCTGGCCCGTAGGTTACGAATGTGCCCGAGGAGAAAAAAAAAGCAAACTTAAGAAGATTTCTCGGGAACTTAAAAGTTCACCTCAAAACGAAATCTGCACCTATGACCCCGCCATGGTTACCAACAAGGACAGCCCCGAGTATAACGTATTTCAGAGGGTACAGGATATGATATGAATCAAAAATGCAAATGTATTATTGTATTTTGTAATACAATGGTCTATTCACTCTATTGCTGCGGAAACAAAGCACAGTATGACCATGAGAGAACAACACTTTCAGTCTAGAATTTAACTGGAAAGTGGAAAATGGGAACTTGTTCACCGGTGTCCTGTATCGACAACACTACAATGCACCCCCAGGATTTGACTTCGACCGTAGAAGGGCTGACCCCCCAATGGTCAGGAACCCTCAATCTCCTGAGTACAACATTCCAGAGAGAGTTGAGGACTTTGTTTCTTATTTGGAGGAACAGGTTATTTTTGTTGGGTATCGTGAGACGGATGCAACGGCAGACACCATGTAAAATTCTTCAACAAGAAGTTGTAAGACCAAAATACGTGTCATGACGTCACGCCACATAATATAACGTCACGCCACGTGTCATGACATCACACTTCCCCAGTCTAGAATACCGGTGGCTGAGCATGGAGAGTGACACCTCAATCTTCACACACGTTATGTGGGATATGTATTGGGCACCCTCCGGTTTCTGTTTCGATACAGCCTGTAACGACCCCGCCATGGTTACCAACAAGGACAGCCCCGAGTATAACGTATTTCAGAGGGTACAGGATATGATTGATTATCTTACAGAACAGGTTCCTAATCGTATAACTGTATCAGATAAAAACAATAATATGGGATGTACCAGCTAGCACTTTATGGAGGGTCACCCCCTTTAACTTTCCCATATTTCCCGCCCCTATAAAAATCCTACGTTCTCAGCCTGGAATTCCGCTGGGTGATTGAAGAAGAGAACAGCTCAATATTTACGAGTGTAGTCTATTACCGATACGAGGGTCCTGATGGGTTCTGTTTTGATACGAACTGTAAAGACCCTCCAATAGTAACTAACAGAGCATCTCCCGAATACAATGTTGTAGCTCGATCTGAACTCTTGCTCAGCTACATGAGGCAACAGGTCAGTCTCTAAAGTTACCATCTTTAGAGTTGCCATCACGTGGTGTGGTGTCACGTGGTGTGATGGCATGTCACGTGTAATGTAAAATAAGCCAAAACATTCATTTTATCTTCTGTACAGTGTCTGCTGGTGCATCCTATACACTGATGATAAAACGTGTTGCCAATAAAGTAATAATAACTGAAATTACATCAAGATCGCAGCCTGATTGGTTTTGAAACCTTCTGATTCTGTTCGTATCATTCATAATTGTAACAAAACTACAAAAGTATTTACCAATAAGCAACGTGGTCAATGAAACTTATACATAAAACTATATCTCAAATATTTCCAGGTAACAATTAAAGTTAAATATCTGAAACACATCCCCTCAGTCATCCCACTACAGAAGTGGTAACATAATGCTGACCATGGGAGGGGACTTCTGCTACCAGAACGCCCACAAGTACTTCAAAAACCTGGACATCTTAATGGACTACGTTAACGCCAACACAACCAACAACGGCTTCAAGATGATCTACTCCACCCCTTCTCAGTACATGGACGCTGTTCTCAAATCTATTGGTAAAGATTAATATTGTCAGTTTTAGAGCAAGTCAGCACTCAGCATCATGTTTATTCTGTTGGGCTTAAGGGGGCCGGGGGGTCCCCCTTAAGGGACTCTTTTTTCAGAGTCAGTTATTGCTCCTTAACCAGACCACATACCGTCACGTGACCACTACTCCCGTAGGAGGGCTACAAAATAAAACGGACGATCTGTTCCCGTACGCTGACGGTCCCCACTCTTACTGGACTGGTTACTTCACCTCTCGCCCCACCCTAAAAGGGTATGTCCGGGACTGTAACAATGTGTTGCAGGTGTGTAAGCACGTGGAGGCAGCAGCAGCACCTGGTGACAAGTTGGGGGCTACTTCTGAGCTACTCAGACTGGCTATGGGGGTCTCTCAGCACCACGATGCAGTCAGTGGAACCAGCAAACAGGTTAGTGACCAGTAAGTGACCAGTTAGTGACCAGCAAACAGGTTAGTGATCTAATAGCCACAAGAAATTGGGGGTTTAGAAACTTCTAGAAGATGGGTTTTAATACCATTTCGTTTCAACAATCAACAAGTTATATAGTTGACGTTGTAGTGACGCCTTCAGAAATATTCCACCATCATGTTGATTTATCACTTATCATTGTGACGTTGTGATTTCCCGTGAGAATAAATGATTCTCGCGAGAAATTAGAAGGCCTTAATACCGATGCAGATGCACATGCCCATTTTTCATCTTTTTTCGGTAAAAATTGAAGAATTGAAAAATAAATATTCCTGATATTATATACCATACTCTATTAAGCTGAAATATAGCTGTACTTGCTAATTATAGGAATAGAAGGCAAACACGATGGTAATGTTTATTTTCATCACAATTCAATTTATAACTGTTTAAGTCCATGCCCATCGATGCCCTTTTTATGGATGACGCACAACTATTTTAGGATAAGATCATTTAACAATAAGTTGACGTCACAACCTTATACCATAAGTTCGACACTGCTTTGTTCAAATTTCCGAAAATGCCAGTTATACTTTGAATTGCACAAACACACGAAAGAAAAAACGAACAAACACACGAACAAACCCACGAACAAACACACGAACAACCACACGAACAAACACACGAACAAACAAACGAACAAACACACTATTCCCAGCACGTAGCGGACGACTACGCTAGAAGACTAGCTGCGGGTCAGACAGAATGTGAAACACTGATTACTAAAGGCCTGAAGATGAAGTCAGTGTACACTGGCAAGTTACACGCTTGTCGGTTACTAAACGAGAGTTACTGTGAGGTTACTCAGGATGGTAACCGCAGTCTCACTATTGTTGTGTACAATGCCAGGTGCGTGGTTTTATTAAGTTCGGATTATTCTGATTTCTTTTTTCATATAAATAAGCACGAGTAATAAGTTTGACTAACGTCAACGACTTCTGTCTTCTTCATTGTTCGCAATAATTTTATCTATGTATCAGGCGTGTGACCCTACAATTATCATAACCCACTATTTTATTATACATATACCCACAGGGTAACTCCACGAATAGAGTACATCAGAATACCTCTAACCCACCCCCACTACCACGCTGTTAACCTGGTTACACAACAGTACATGCCAGTAGAGTACCTCCGTGTCAGCGCTGCCACTAGAGCTCTCAACCCTGACTCTCTACCACTAGAGGGGGTGTTCAGAGCTGAGCTTCCACCTCTCGGCTTCGCCTCATTCGAACTGAGAGTGTCTCTAAACCATGTGGGACGAGTACTGAAGAGTGTGCCAGTTTACTACGGGGAGGATCTAATGGTGGAGTCCCAGATTTACAAGGTGTATTTTGACAGTAGGACCGGCGCTATGAAGATGATAACTAATAAGCTAGCTGGGCTGAGTGGGAGAAGTGACAAACTTACTCAGAGATTCATGGAGTACAGTTCTAGTCCTGGTGATAAAGTGGACAACCAACCCTCTGGTAAGTACAGTTGTAGTCCTGGTGATAAAGTGGACAACCAACCCTCTGGTAAGTACAGTTCTAGTCCTGGTGATAAAGTGGACAACCAACCCTCTGGTAAGTACAGTTGTAGTCCTGGTGATAAAGTGGACAACCAACCCTCTGGTAAGTACAGTTCTAGTCCTGGTGATAAAGTGGACAACCAACCCTCTGGTAAGTACTGTTCTAGTCCTGGTGATAAAGTGGACAACCAACCCTCTGGTAAGTACAGTTCTAGTCCTGGTGATAAAGTGGACAACCAACCCTCTGGTAAGTACAGTTCTAGTCCTGGTGATAAAGTGGACAACCAACCCTCTGGTAAGTACAGTTCTAGTCCTGGTGATAAAGTGGACAACCAACCCTCTGGTAAGTACAGTTCTAGTCCTGGTGATAAAGTAGACAACCAACCCTCTGGTAAGTACAGTTCTAGTCCTGGTGATAAAGTGGACAACCAACCCTCTGGTAAGTACAGTTCTAGTCCTGGTGATAAAGTGGACAACCAACCCTCTGGTAAGTACAGTTCTAGTCCTGGTGATAAAGTGGACAACCAACCCTCTGGTAAGTACTGTTCTAGTCCTGGTGATAAAGTGGACAACCAAACGTCTGGTAAGTACAGTTGTAGTCCTGGTGATAAAGTGGACAACCAACCCTCTGGTAAGTACTGTTCTAGTCCTGGTAAGTACAGTTCTAGTTCTGATTAATAAGCAGTACTTTATTAACAGCTGACACCCTTTAGTATAATAAATTGCAGGAGCGTACATATTCAGACCACTGAACAACTCACCCGACGACCTAGGAGACCCCATACTGACGGACTACATACCTGGGGAACTGTTCACTGAAGTCTGGCAAACATTCGACGACTGGATTACCCAGGTTAATAGAGGACAATTTATTTTATAATATTAATAAATATGATTTATTTATTTATATTATTCGATTTCATTGACAACATTCAACAATACCGATTAATAATTCAGATACAAATATCATGTTTGTTTCGTCTAGTTGCAATATTGTCTGATGTGGTCACGTGTTGTGACGTCACACTCTGTCACGTGTTGTGACGTCACACTCTGGCAAGTGTTGTGACGTCACTCTCTGTCACGTGTTGTGACGTCACTCTCTGGCAAGTGTTGTGACGTCACACTCTGACACGTGTTGTGACGTCACACTCTGACACGTAATAACCCAGGTAACAAGAATATACTACGATAAGTTCCACATAGAAGTAGAGTGGACAGTTGGTCCTATCCCTCTAGATCATGGCAGGGAGATAATAACACGGTACGATACTAGTCTAGCTACTAACAAGACTTTCTACACGGACAGTAACGGTAAGTAGGAGTCAGTAACGGTAAGTAGCAGGTAGTTTTTCAACAATTCCACTAATAAACCTCACATTTGTGTACTTTCTAACTCTACTGTTTATCAATAACCCTGACGAGTTACCCGGTTCAGGTAGAGAGATGGTTGAAAGAGTGTTAAACAAGCAGCCTACCTGGGATCTGACGGTTACGGAGCCTATAGCGGGGAACTACTACCCAGTCAACACGCGCGCTACTATAGTAGACAGTGCGCGCGGAATGCAGCTGACTGTTCTGACTGACAGAAGTCAGGGGGCTGCCAGTCTCGGAGACGGACAGGTATTTAATATGGTCTCACAGAGACTACCAGGTATTTAATATGGTGGTCTCACAGAGACATTCACTTTTAGTGACTTTAACAAAACATCAGAGAAAGAGGGATCCAACCCGTAGTAACCCGTAGTAACCAGTAGTAACCATTATTAACCAATACTCAATAGTAACCTTATACCAGATCCCAACAGGTGGAGTTTATGGTACACAGGCGGATACTAAATGATGATCACAGAGGAGTAGGTGAACCCCTTAACGAGACTGCTAATGGTAGAGGGCTGATAGTGCGGGGGAGGCACTGGCTGTTCTACTCAGATACTATCTCTTATCACATGCACCGAGATGTTGGTCTGGACTTGTTTTACAAACCCACTGTTGTTATTGGAAACGAGGGAGGAATTGAGGTTAGCAGCTTCGCAATAACATCTTTACAAACATCAGCTTTCACCTTTCACCCGGACACTCTACTTTGCTGCATTATAGAATCTATAATAAATATGTAGAGATGTAGAGATGTAAATTGTAGAGATGTAGTCTGATGAGATGTAGAGATGTAAATTGTAGAGATGTAGTCTGATGAGATGTAGAGATGTAGAGATGTAAATTGTAGAGATGTAGTCTGATGAGATGTAGAGATGTAGAGATGTAAATTGTAGAGATGTAGTCTGATGAGATGTAGAGATGTAGAGATGTAAATTGTAGAGATGTAGTCTGATGAGATGTAGAGATGTAGAGATGTAAATTGTAGATACATGACGTTTCTACCTTACAGGTGCCTACATGGAACTTCTACAAGAGCGCGACCCCAGCAAGCCAATACCTGAACATAGTGACCCTGCAGAAGATACCCTCTGTAAACGGGACGGATCTGTTAGTGAGACTGGAGAATACTTTACCTGGGTCTGAGGGAGGCAAACCTATTACTGTCAAGTTGGATGATATATTTGGAGTGGAGGGTAACTTCAACGGATATCAGGTAAGAGGACATAGCGTTATTTATGCGATCTATTATGTAATAATATTATTACCATAGTGAAAACAGTTTATAATTTAATAGGATTCGTAAACTTCCCAAGACAATTTAAAGCTAATAATTGATTTCAGTCAGCTATATAAGGATTTTAAAAGATATTCAAATTTTCTGATATTTATGACTCCCTATAATTAGTTACGTAACTAAAAAGAGTCGCCTCCCCCACAGGAGCTTGGCTTAGCAGCAGACAGAGATATAAAGAAAGTTGTAGATTACAAATCTCACACCCAACATGACGACGCTGCCAAGCACACTATTGAACTCCAGCCCTTCCAGATACGGACCTTCATTCTCAACTTCAATAGCACCGAGACTATGTTCTAGTCACGTGGTGTGTGACGTCACGTGGTGTTACGTGTGACGTGAGTGACGTCATACATTTTATGAGATTTCCGAGACTGATTTATTGCGGGACTCCGGGAGTAAACTATATCCGATTATTTTCGAGTACACTGCCAGTGTTGTCGGAGCCTGCTTGTACTACATAATATTGCGGTTGATTTATGTTTTATTGTGTAACATATTGTATTGTACGTCTGATATATTAACATGTGCATACATCATTATTATTATAACTTTAAAGTTTCACATTCCTTTTACTGAGTTTACAGCTATTTGCAATTTGATAATATTACAGTAAAACCTCTGTATACTGTGCCTCTCTATACCGGGTACCTCGATATACCGAGCCTCTTCTTTTCCCCAAAGTTTTGGTCAATTAGCCCGTGATTTGATATTTTCAGAAAGTAATGCGATTTTTCAGTGGTCACATTTGATTTGGTGGTAAAATGAGTAGATATTGAGCTGTATTTCATCGCTATACGACACAATACTTGCACATAAGGCTAAAGAGTAAAGGGGTATATCAGAGTCATGAGACGCTTGACAGGTTATTTGAGAGGATTTGGGATCATGTGAACCTCTCTATACCGGATTATTTCTACACCGTGCACTTAGAGAGTTGACTCCATTTATTTACCCCATTTAACAATAACCATTTTACCAATTAACTAAACCAGTAATTACCTATATATGGCATTCTATTTAAGTAAGCAAAGCGCAGTACAATCGTAAAGAAATGCCAGGAGAACATCACAACTTTACAGATAATAATAATATGGGAAAAAACTAATAAACCCAACTCAAGTGACTAAACCTGATAACACCTTCAAAAGCAGCGCGTCACTAATTTAAGTGGAATTTGAACTGTATTGGTCCCGTTGCGTCATGTATATTCCCAGTGGGATACTGTTGTTATTAGTACGGAGTTAAAGCTGGCTAACACTCCCAGACTCTAGCATCACCAGTGCGTCTGTTTATTATAGTACCGGACATTTTAATACAAAATTTAATGACTTTTAAATTGAAATAAATGGTGTTATGTATAAAGGAAATAACAATTATTATAACATTAAAATATGGTGTAAAAGCAATTTATATAGCTTTTAATATTATAGCTGTGTTGTTTTTCAAGGTAACCAGGGCAAAAATAGAATTTCATTTAGCGATGAAAAACTTTTTAAATCAGTGATAAGTACGACACAATGTGTAACTTACGATGTGAGCTCGTCGTAGAATCTGGTGGACGCCCCCACGAGGTTAACTCCAAGCAGAGTGAGTAAATAAAACACACACTGTACAGGCTCTGAGTCGGCCGATAGGTCTGAATCTAAATCTGAGGAAGAAAGAGTTTGTTTTAGTAGTACTGATAATTAGTAGTGATACACAGAGATTTAAATAGTGTATTCTTTAAATAACATTTTATTCTTTTGCATAAAATTGTAATTGTAATTAATCGAGAGCCGTGGTTCCTGCCATTAAAAGGCGGAATTGTACATTTGTTTCAAATTTAAATAACAAGGTACAAGTTATAAATAGAACGTTAGTGTTATATACAAATATATTCAATTTAGAATTCTGTAAATAATATCCGCATAATACTATAATATGACACTATAGATATATCATAACAATATGTATCTTATTACAAATATTTAGTAAATATTTCAGTAAATACAGTAAATATTTTAGTAACTTACGCGTATATAAAAAGTAAATATTTTAGTAAGCATTTTAGTAAATACAGTAATAAACTAATTAACTAATGAACTAATTAACTAATTTACTAATTGACTTACGCGTATATAAAAAGACTCCCACAGAGTATAACACTCCAGCTACTATCAAAAACAATAACGGCTGAAATAAAATATTGTTAGCTAAATACACAAATCGCTAATACTGCCATTTTCAAACATGTGGTGACAATAAGTAATAACCTCAACATTATTTCTTATGAGATACCATGAAAATCCAACACACTGCTTTAAAACTCATGATAAGGTGACAGAAAATCCCAGGAGAGATCTCTTAAATATTTGGTAAGATGTGACGCTCGACACTAATTAAAGCTAAAGTTACTTGAAAATATCCACTTACTAAGTATAACAGGGTGTATGATATCAAAATAGGGCAACTCCAAACAAATGTCAGATACAGAGGACTCAGTGTGTCCCTCTGAGAAATTATTGTTATTAAAATGGGACAAAAGATTGGTTGCATTAACAATAATTGAATTTATAATAGGATTAGTAAATTGTGATAGTATTGATAAATAAAAATGATTAGAAACTTGGTTTTTAAAAACAGTACACAGTAAATATTGTGAAATAACAGAAACTGAACAGAAACTCACCCCAAAATAGAGAATGGTGAAGGAAGGTATGAATCCGACAATAAGGGTGAAGAAGGAGGAGACATGGAGTGAATGGTGTGAGAGCGTGTGAGAGATGACAATAAGTCCCAAGTTAGCAGCCGTGGCGGCTACTGTTGCGTAGAACAGCTGCAAACTAATGTCCTTGTCATTATCTTTATCTACTGTTGCAAATCCTGGACAGAATGAAGCTGTCAGTATGTTAACAGCTGAATTAACAGTAGATTTCAGAAAATTTCACAGAGGTAAAATCTTGATGCAATATCAGAATCTCATTTTTTGTTAGCAGGGAAATAAATTGACCCGACCCTACAAAGTATTCTTACTACGAAATAAGATTAGTTTTACTATTAAGTATAAAGTTATATATACTAAAATCTTCTAACAGTTATAATGTTCAATACTCACGTATGGCAAAGTAGATGACGAGAATTAACGATAGTATAAAGTAGAGAGTGGAAGCAAGCTGAATATTCCATTTTCTCTCTGAAACTGAACAGATCTGGTACTGTTTCTCTACATCCTTTTTCTGCGGATGTTTTAAAGTTTAATATGTGTTTAAAACAAAAATAGAAATCTTTTGCTATATAAAACATATATAATGCAACATTTCATAATTGCTCTTTAAAATACGTGGAGGACTTTAACCGTAAAAGTGGTCACATAAGTGGTCACATACTAGAGTTGAAGAGTTCCCTTGCTCAAAGTCATTTGATAATCCAGCGAGAAAAAAACACACAAAGGTATTTTGAGTCCTTCAAAATTACACAGTGTAACATCTCAACATGCTAATTCATTCTGCACTTGTAAACTACAGCATGGGGGACGAGTGAGCAGTTTATCATCATTAGATTAGGTACAATTGTAATCTGATCAGTGAAGGAGCAGGAACACTAAGGTTACATGTGTGGTGTGGTCAATGACCAGGACCCGTACCTGGAAGCTAAGGTCGAGGCAGTGTCCATTGTGCCACGTGTATTTGGGACTGCAGTCGTACTCTGAAATTATTGATGTTATAAGGAATGGAAGATTAGGAAAGTCTAATTATGATGTAAAATTTAGAAAGAGCATTGCTTTGTTTGCACATTTCTCAATTATTGGCATTATATATTTAGACTTCTACAATGGCCATGGGGGTTTTAAACACTCACCTAAACATGTAAGAGGCTTGTAGTTCTTGTTGTTGGCTATAATCTTATGCCGATAATATGGCATCTTCTCATTTTGCCGTGTTTCCGCCTTACATAGCTCCTAATTAGCGTGCTGCAAGGCACTTTCAGTCAGAACAGAATGTCAGGATAATCAAAAGTGATTTGAATTACCCCAGAAAGTGATAAAAATGTATCAACGTTATTGATTGATTGAAATAAATTTTCCTGCACATACAGAATGAATGGTTAATAATTTAATATATATGTAGACCAAGCTCTGTGCACGGGATGCTTCCTGGAAGAATCCAGTTCTTTTAGCGGGGCACCCTACCTAAAGCCAAATTGAGATATAATAATCATATTCCTAGGGAAATAATCAGAAATCGAATACCAATCAAATAATATGATATATAGGAGTAGTAACCATATTTACTATGCAAAATGCCCCAACCTCATAGTGTAAATTTATATAAAATTCAAATTCCATACCACCACTAAACCCCAACATGAACAGTCAACACAACAGCCCAAGCAAAATTAAATAACTTCTTATATACTGTCATACTACAAATTAATTAAACATTTGAAATCTGTTAACCAGAGAATAAATTTCTAAACCTAATGCAAGTGAAATAATTTAGATGCAATAATGAATGCCTAATATGAGTATCATCTGTCAATGTCCTTGTAGAACAGTCCTTGTAGAACAGTCTACAGTACTCATCTTCCTCAAAATCTAAGCTCTCCACCCAAATCAGTCATAACATGAGGGAAGAATTCGTGAATACCTGGAAAGCTGCCAAGGCCTCCTCGCCAAAACTAGAATTCTATAACTTAATTAAACATGATTTCGAACCAGAGGCATACCTACGAATTATCAAAATACCGGATGTTCGAAAAAGTCTGACAAGGTTTTGTATCAGCTGCCACAACCTCTACATCGAAAGGGGCAGATACGAAACCCCCCTTGTACCAAGAGAAGAACGTTGGTGCACCTACTGCTTTTTCAGCAAAGGGCTCAAGCCTATTGAGGACGAAAGTCACGTATTGATTGACTGTTTGCTCTACTCCTCAGTTAGGGAAAAATTCAATTTCCATCCCCTAAACATTACTGACCTAGTCGGTTTGCTCTCCAACAAAACTCTAGATCCTACCACACTCACTGCCACAGCAAGAGCAATCCATTCAATTCTCTCTGTGAACAAAAATTATACAGCCTACTATAAGAGCCCAGATTTCCACTCAAATACTGGCAAGTGCATAATGCTATAGGACCTTAAAATAAGATTGAACCATACAAACTCGATTTATCTATTTTTCTAAAACTAGCATTATATAACATTTCTAAATTATCCCTACACACTTGTAAATAATTAGAATTGTGTAACTTAAATTATTTCAGAATTACAACTATTGTGTACTCAATAAAGTAATTATCACTTTTGTATCCTTGTATCCTTGTATCCTTGTATCCTATGAGTAACTAATATAGAAGGAAAAAAAACAGGAAGTTGTCGTCTGTTGGAAAATAAATATTTATACCGGCCAAAGTCATGGGTCCTTAAACCATAATTCATAACTGCAATCCTCTAGTCCAGGCACAAACTACACAATATTTAATGAATTTATTTCAGAGCAGATATATAATAACATAAACCCGCCACGCAAAGGGTTTATATAACAGATCATCCCGCGCTAGCGGGATGATCTGATAAACACATACGAGTGCGCGCAGCGCACGAGTTTTGTGTTAATATGTAATCCCGAAGCGCCAGCTGAGGGATTACATTTATTTAGCCCTGAGCGTGAAGTGTTTATGGATTATAATTATCTCCGGCGATTTCGACAAGGGATTTATACTTTAGAAGAGAGTGATAAAAAAGCAGTTCATCAATCTGAATGTCAAACCGATCTGTCATAGTGGAGCAATAGCTTGAACGTTAGCAGGAACAAGAGCTGGAAGGAGAGCAAGCAAAACAATACTATATTTTTAGGGCACGGACAAGGGTAGCTGGCTAGTCGCCAACTTCTCACGCCACGCGTTGGAGAAATTCCAAGAATTAGCTGCTTTGGCAACGTTCCCAGGAATTTGCGTGTAAAAGAAGTGGACGGTTACGATGTTTCATATCACGTGGTGCGCTTTCGTGTCACGTGGTATAGATTCGGCGTATGCTATTGGTGGCACGTGGTACGCACGTGACGCGCCCACGTGATCGCGCGTCTAACTGTTCTACTATTATCGAGTTCTAATCAGCAGTATCATTGATTATTGTAAGTCGGAGAATTGAATGATAAACATCAGTTACGACTAAAAAGCGGGCCGGGTTTATACAAATTTCCGGGGCGGGATGATATCACCTTGAGATGTTTATCTAACAGCGGGCCGGGCTGAGTGATAATATGATCCCGCGTCGAAATCCCGGAGATATTTATAGTCCTTTTAACCGAAAATGCTGACAATTTAAACTTTGTCTGACATAATTGACAGCAATTTAAGTTTATAGGCCTAATTCGAAACTCTGCTCTGAAAGTTTCAAATGATCCATTAAATTAATCTAAATCCAAAACTTTATGAAAAACTATTAAAGAAAAAAAAACAAATCAATGGTGAATAACTGTGAATATATTATATAGATTAAATTGGTATTTACGATAAATTAAATACAAGTCTGATACTATGATATATTATAGTCATTATGTAAGTGCAGTGATAATAATAATAATTCTATACAGTTACATAATTGAAACAATTATGGCCCCTTATTGTGGGCAGAGTATGTGTCTTTATTGAATTGTCCTGATATAAACTTATCTGAGTGACTGCATTAAAATAATTTAAGGTGAGTTCTCTTAAAACTTTAAGACAATAGGAATAAATACTAGGACCTAATAAAATGAAAACAAAATGCAGCCATCTAATTTGTTGTTGAGCTTTCTCTTCTCCTACGGTTGACTAGAGGAACCATCCTGGCGAGTATTAGGAACTTAGACCATTACAAATACCGTGCTGTAAGTTTGCAAGGCATGTGGACTAAGTGGGTCGAGAGTACTCAACTTGAAAGTGGGTGTTGAGAATCCTCAACTATACTAAAGATAATGATGTTCAGAAGATGAGGCAGTAGAGTGAGTAGTAGAGGCTGAAGAAGAATAAATGTCACAAGAGATGAGCACTATAATAATCATCTTTATGATAGTTCACCAATGGCAATTTGTGCTAGAGAGCGGAAGGCAGTGATGCTGTTATCACTATCATCTCTTAAGATAGACCATGATGGTTGGTCATTAAAGGAATGGTCCTGCAGGGTTTCCCTGTAAGAGCAGCTGCACAGTGGACAGTAGAAGAGTCTGTGATAATTGGTGTCCAATACCTTACAATTTGGACACTGAGGGTCGCAGTTGTTGGCTACCCTTGCCTGGAAGGCTGCAAAGGTGATGTCATGGCCATGTAGGAGAGACATAACCTTAGTATCCGTGTTTCTGCTTGAGTAGCGAGGAAATAATCTTTTGCTCCTTTCATCAATGTTATCCAGTATCTGACCCTCACTCTGATTTATTCTTGGGTTCAGCAGGAGATGTTTATTCCAAGTAAACTCCATGAAGCGGATTATTTCTTCTTTTGAGTAGCTGACAACATCGTTCTGGACACTAGTCAGAAGGTCTATTTTGCTTCTGTTTAGTTCTTTAGACCCAGTTTTCCACGTTAGAAACTTACGTATCTCGTCAATATGGTGCTGGTATCGGTGGGCCTTTGCCTCCTCTAGCTGCAAGATGAGCCCTTGCATAAATAGGTCACTTGTAAGTGCTTTTATTATAAATTTTATAGTGACCATCTTGTAGGATATCTCAAGGGGTGGAATCCCAAGCGCAACAGAGGTCAAATCTTTGGGAGGATGGTGAGTGGCCCCGCTTATCTTCAAGAGGACCCTGGCATAAAAGTCTTTGAAAGTGTCGAGGTTATCTTTTAGCCATATAGGAGCAGCATATAGAAGTTTTGTGAGTACCACTGTTCTGAAGAGCATTCTGAGTGAGCTTGTATTCAGACCTCTGTGGCGGGTGGAGTTTTGGGTGATCCTGTGCCAGGCAAACCAGCATTGCTTGAGTTTGAATTTTGCGTGACCCTTGAATGTGAGCTTGTTGTCGATTGTTAATCCGAGAACAGTTGATTGATACGTATAGGTTATGGGTCTGCTGCCAATAATTAACGGACTTAAGGTTGTGACATCAGGTGCAGTTGAGGATGCTGGTGCGATCATTATGCACTCGGTTTTGTTTTTATCACAGTTCGGGATTAGTTTCCATTTACTGCACCAGACATGAAGGTATTTGCACATCAGCTGCATTATCCGGTGAGCACATATAGGATCCATGTGGGATACTGCTATGCTTCCATCGTCCGCATATTTGAATAGACTTGAGTTAGAGCTGCATTCCAGTGGAAGCTGGTCCTTACATAACATATCCGAGATGTAGAGGATAAATAGCAGAGGTGCAAGGACAGAGCCTTGGGGAAGCCCAAACCATCCACATGAGCGTTGGAATCCGAGACTGTTGTCAACCCTCAGCCGTACTTTGCGAGACAACAGGAAGTTATTGATTATCCGCAAGATTTTTCCTTGTATTTGGTATTTGTTGAGCTTGAAAACCAGGCCTTTCACCCATACACTATCAAATGCTTTACTAAAGTCGATACATAGTAGGAAAGTAGTGAGTTTTTTCCTCTTGCATGCATCTAGAGTAGCAACTAATTTATAAAGATACCTTGCAGTATTTCTTTGAGGTCTAAAGCCTTCTTGTTCTTCGTCGAGTAAGCCCTCTAGTTCACAATGGAGCTTTATTCTTCGTTCCAAGATCTTTTCTAGAAGCTTTCCAACATATGATGATATCGATATTGGTCTGTAAGCAGAGGGGTTCATGTAATTTTCCTTCCCATCCTTTTTGATGAAAGTGACATTGGATACGTCCCAGACCCATATACCAGTGTCAAGGACAAGATCAAAAAGTTTTGTTAGGATATGAAGAGCTGACACAGGCAGATGTTTAAGGATTCTTGGATGAAGATCGTCAGTGTCAAAACTTTTAGCACTGCTATTTTGAGCCTTTAGTGCCGAGGTAACTTCCTCTAGGCCTATTTTTCCATTCAAGTGATCATTAATTACTGGGTCTAGTTGGTCAGAAGAGAACTGGGTGGATATAATGTTGTCATAGCAGCTATCGATATCCTGTTCGAAAATACGATCAAAACTGCCTCCATTCATGTGTTCACCAGAGAAGAATGATTTGTACAGGATGTTTTCTTTCTGAGTTCTGTCAGAGTGGAGAATGCCACCATCCATGAGGTTTCCCATGTACTCGTTAGACTTATTGGTCAATGTCTTCTTATAATTTTTCCAGAATGTTTGAGATTGTGCAACATTGAGATTTTCCAGTTTTTGATGAATCCATTTGTTTTTTTCGGATATCAAGGTATTAGAGAACTCCTCCTTTGCTTGTTTGTGGAGGGAGACGTTATGCGGTGTGTAGCTGGTTTTCATCGTTTCCTGCGCAGCTTGAAGAGTTCGTGAGAGGTCTGTAAGGAGAGAGTTCCAAAAAGGTTTTGAGTGGATGCTGGCTTTCTTGAGAGGGATCCACTGATTACCAATTGCAGATAAAGTGTTTTTGAAGTCTTGCCACAGCTTTAGATGGTCTATGTAAGAGTTGATCCTACCAGTTATTCCAAGGAGAAGGGACCTGTTTAGTGATTCACGCCAAGCATTCCAGTCTGTTTTTCAAGGTCCCAGTAAAGAAGAGGAGATGCAATTTGAGCAGTTTGTGCATGACAGAATTGGTGGATGATTGGTAAGTGACCTCTATTAGGAGCACCTGTGAAAAGTTCACTTTCACTGTCAATACTGGACGATTGGTATAGCCTACATACTTTGCCCTTCAACAAAGCAAGGTCAATGATACTCCCACCATTATGGGAAACAAATGTATTGGTATTCGGAGTAATGCATGTCAGATTATGCTGACCAATAAATGAGTTCAGCTGTCTTCCACGATCGGTTGAGATGATATCTCCCCAGGAGATGTGTCTGCTGTTGAAGTCACCGAGAATTATTATATCTTTGATATTGAGCTTGGAGCAGTATTGTAGAGCTTTAGTGATGTTGGTTAGTGCTGAGCTCAAATTGTTTGGAGAGGTTAGGGAGTGGTTTATGTATATGTTACCTATCATAACTACCGTTGAATTGTACCTAACTGTGACCCAAAGTGCATCAGTGGTTGTGTCTTGAAGCTCACTGATTTGTTGTGGAACAAGTCTTGGGGCAACATTGGTGGACACTCCTCTGCTGTTGTTCACCGAAAATGTGTCGAGATTATGAAAGGTATTTAAGTGGGGTTTGGAGTTATCCAACAAAGTTTCCTGTAGAGCCAAAATGTCATTTTTGAACTTAAAGTTGAATCTATCAATTGCTGTAATAGACCTGTTTGATAGCCCACTGACATTTATTTGACAGATATGAAGACTTCCGTTGATTTTAGTGCAGTGAGAAGGTGTGTGTGGGAAGAAAAAAAGGAAAATAGGGGGAGCAAAAAGGAAAATAGTGACCTCAAATTTAAAAAGACTAGTAGACCCAATCTGTTTTTACCTGTAAAGGGAGTCCATTCCAAAGTATATGGGTTCTGTAGAAAAATGATTTTGCCAGTGGACTATTTAAGGTAGTGGTGGTGTGTGAATTCTGACTTAGCTTAAGTAAAATTGATGACACAATAGAGAAACTGTTGAGATGTCAACATCTTAGTCGAGAAGTACCCTGACATAAAGAGAGATAATGAGCCAGTGACACAGGAATTAAATTGTTTAAAAAGTTGTGAACAAAAATATGAGAGCACAGATAGGGAGTTCAGGGTTAAGATGTGATGAAACATTGCGGCTTGCGAATCGGTACTGTTCTACAGATCAGGAACCTGGACACTGAGGCTCAAGAAAAAAGATTGGGCGGGACATATGACAAAGATGTTGCGTACGATGCTGGGTAATTCATAGAAGGACAAGATCAGCAATGTTACTTTATATGGTAGCCAACCAAAGTTGTCAAACACAGGAATTACGAATAGCCGGACACTGCATAATCAGACATCCTGAGCTACTGGCCAGTGAATTAGTCTTATGAGAACCTTTGCATGGTAGAGCAGAGTAATCCGTAAGGCCGACCGAGACAAGAGGAACTGTGAACCCTGATACAGGACAGGGATATATCGATGGGGTCATCTGGCGAAGATCGGACTTAGTTCCGACCTATTAGTATAAGTAGTTACTATTTTGCTTTAAATATAACATCAAACATGAAAATATCTGATAAACAAATCTGCATGGACAAATGTTATTAATGTCTCCAAGTAAAAACAATGATATCATAGGTATTTGGAAGTAGAAGACCATTAACCTTGCATTCAACACTGCACCCACTCTTAAAAATACCCTTTCCTGGCTGTGGGTTCCACATACTCCAAGGATTCACGTCTAACCTAGCTCCATCCGCTTTATTGGCCCATGCAGGACGTTGTGTCCCGCTGAAAAGGAAGGAGGAAAGGCTCGATTTTTATGCCTTTGCACTTAGTAGTTTGTAAGAGCTCAGCTAGCATATTTTTCAAATAATTGTGACGAAGGGAGATCTGTCCTTCCCGTTTGCATGTAAATATATAATTCATTAAGTTATTAATTCCACAAAAAATATAGACATCTCTTTGCTGACTCTTTATGATGTGGTTTCATTACATTTGGTTTGCATAAGTAATGAGTAAAGGACTCGAGTTGGTCACCTTAAACAATTTGACCCATAATTTTAAATGTGTTATGTATATATTAAGGCACTGTCTAGAATGTCTATTCTTAAAGCATATTAAACTTGATGGGTCAAAGCAACGTTGTCATATGTTGTATCGTAGTAAAACGACAATGGTGAATGGGGGTCACGACGTGCTACAAACATATATTACATTACAATAGCCAACGAAAAAATAATGTAAATCAAAATTATGTATCAAATTGATATTTTCACTATAGCAAGATTTATTGCATATTAGTGCTTTTCATTCAAACAAGTAAAAACGAATCTTTTATGTCATGTTTCCAGGGTTTGGACTGGAATTGCCCGCTTAAAGAACTTCCATCGCGTTACATTACATAATTTTCTCAATAAATGTAATAGATTTGTAGTGTTGTAATTAGTTTAAAACTATGTTTTTAAGTTCATCAGTAGCTTGACTCATTGCAGCAAATATAATTAATTTTTAACCACCTTTCTGAGTTACCAGGCTTTCTCTGAATCAATGTTATAATTGTTTTTTCGAAAAGGAAGTAATAAACTGTTTGATGGTTTATGGTTTACCTTTCTCGCGTATATCTCAACACTCAAAGAAAAAAGAAGAAAGAAACAATTATGTGTATAGATAATGATGCGCCTGGTAATAAACAATAATGCAACAATGTGAAATATTTAAAAGGATTTATTAAAGATGTAAAATCTCTTAAAATTCAATTATTGTACTATAATTTTAATATTGTAGCGCAATTTAATTTACGATGTCAATTCATCGCAGCTCGGCGAGACCCAGTATGCAGTAGCGCATTTCGCCGATCTAGCGAGGTGGTGGTTGTGAAAAGTTAAGCATAATTGAGTGCGCGGCGCGGCCCAGTAACCTCCATCGCCCTAAAAAAGTGCGATCATGCTCATTGGATGTTATTATACCTGGGTACCTCAGGCTATCATGTTCATAAACAAACAGAAATTTGGCGGAATGATAGGCTGAGCGCGGCCCAGTAATGGGTGTTAGAGCGCACGTGACTAGCATTCACGTGATCGTTCAGAACTGCAATTACAGCCGCTGGGTTAGATTGTAAAATCTGATTATTTGATTGTAAAATCGAATAAACGTGCATACTTGCGCGTTTTAGAGGGTTCAATTACGCCAGGCTATGTATATTAACAAAATAGCCTGGGGTCGGCCCCAGGTAACGGAATGAAAAGCTGAGCGCCGCGCCCAGCAAGCGTCGATGGTCGAGCTGCGAAAAATTGACAGTTGACATCGTCATTCGTCAATTAATTTTAATAATGATGTTTTAAATATAGATATGTTAAAAAGTTTATAAAGGCTAAACATCCGTGTACTTATAAGTTTTGAGGGTTTTTAATTCAACTAATATTTTTATTTAATATCGCCCTTTATTCTGTAAAATTTATTTCCGTACGCGCGGCGTATTACCGGGCGGCGCTCAGCCTGTCATTCCGCCGAATCTTTATTATGTTTATGAACATAATAGGCTGGGGTCCCCAGGTAATTATACGCGTACTGTAAAAAACATTTTTCTGTAAATTTACAATTTTGAAGATTAATCAAGTTTTGATTAATGTGAGTTACTAAAATAACCACTTATCTTTCTTCATACATGCAACCACTGCACTCTAACTAAACACATTATTTACCACAGTCCACACACCATACTCCACAGATGATATATATATATATATATATATATATATATATATATATATATATATATATATATACACAAACACACTAGTACCGAACAATTGCACTGTAAAACATGCTCACGATACACTCAAAATTGGAAATATTCAACGGCTCGTATATGAAACTTAGCGACTTACACTCAGTGTACACCCAGTGTTAACCAGTATTACACACTAGTAAATTCTACGTAACGCGCGAAAACAATAATTCTGTAGTGTTTTCATTGTCACATCTCACGTCGACGGGATTAAACGCGCGCGCGCGTAACAACTTATCTTACTGCTAACTCAGCGACTAAACACACAACGACTTTGACAATTGACAGATGATTAAACAATTGTGAGTTATGACAGACTTAACTGTATGGGTCAACTACTGAAACTGTATTGTTTACTATCTTATTCATTATACTGGACATGAGATGACGAAGTATTTTAAGCAGCACTTTATACCCCCACTTAGAACTTGATTAGTCACGAACAATAGTGAATAGAATCATCAAAAACCAATACAATAAAACATCTTGATCAATAAATGCCTAGCAGCACCAGACAGCAGCCGTGTACCTTTTTCGACTCCGTGGATTCCCTGATGGACTTTTGTTAATAATCGGACCAACCTTTCTTTCTCGAAACATGTATCCTATTGTATTTCATTATAGTATTAAGATGTGAAGATATACTATGTACTAGATATTACAACGAAATAGAGGTATACCAAATTGGCCCTTGATATTAACTATAACCGTGTTGATGGTTTTAAATTTTGTATGTTGTAAGTACTTTTGATTCACGATGTCAATCCTGAATCCTTCGCATCTCGCCGATCTGCATACGGTGGTTGCGAGAAGCATTATTTGATGCGCGCGCGACCCAGTAGTGCATCGCGCTACAAATTAAAATTTAAAACTTTCAAAACGGAGGCTTATAAATATTATTATATTATGATTGTAAAATAAATGATAAAATTTTAAATTTGTTTCACAAAAAAAAAAAATTGTTTCACTTGATAAAGGAGCAAATTCAAAATTTTACGATTCTGAGTCTTTTTTTAAATATTTTATGTTTTGTTGTTATTTTATTGTCATTTTGTTGTTATTTTGTTGTTATTTTGTTGTTATTTTGTTATTATGTTTTATTATGTTGATATTTGTTTTGATTTATTATTATTTGTTCGTTTGTCTTTTGTTGTATCTTTGCATTAGTAATATAATTTTGGTGTTCAATAATGTTTTAAAATGTTTAGTAAATTTTGTTTTCGTAATTATATTTATTCAGGACGTTGCAGAAGGAATTGATTTAATGTAGTTGGAGGAGTCCTAATGTATATATATAATATATATATATATATATAACCCTCTTCACGTCCGAAAATGGCGTTTTTCTTGTATCAAATATGTAACATTTTTAAGCCGCGCAAATTTATTTCTGTGCACTGAAATTCATACCATTTTAATTTCGCGTTGGACAAAAGTTATTTTGCATGCGCGCAATGAACATAGTTGTTCAACTTTTCATTATCTTAGTTTGATCTAATCAGTTTTCCGAATCCGTTTTTACGCTCTATCGATTGTATGCAGCTTAGTTATGCTTGCTAAAAGTGTTACAAGATTCTCCGGTGTAGGTATGTTCATTACCATTTATTTATCATTAAAAAAAAAACGTCTTGTTTTGAATTGAACGAAAGCTGAAAGAAAAGGCGAATGCCCGAGCATCCATGATTCATAAATCGATCACGATTGATGCTGATCGCATATTGGCGCCGTACTGGTGCATTTAAATTACCTTAATTCCCAAAAATTTGGGCGACAAAAAATTTGAGCGGGCCTCTCGCCCAATTTTTTTGCATACCAAATTAATTGCATAAATCTTTTCCGTCTGCTAATTTTTTTGCTAACCAAACTTTTGGCATTTGGCCTGTGGCCCTGAAATCTATAGAAAGATGGCTTTTTCTTCATATCCAAGTGAAATAATATTTGAAATTTTAGTTTTCTAATCTGTCATTCATGGCTTGACCAAGTAAAAAGGCTTATATTTTAAATGAATAGAAATAACTGGAATAACTAACAGCTACCAATAAAACAAATGGCTAGAGGTACGGATGGCTAGAGATTTAAACAATATCTGCAAATGGATTATCATCCACCGTAAAGTCTGATCTACAAGCATCAGTTATACCCGACCTCTCAAAGCCTTTCCTTATGTCATCTGGCCTCCCTTTTAAATATACAAAAAGTTCGTTGATCCAACGAGCGTGTACTTCACGGATCACTGTCAAGCAGGTATCAATTTTCACATTGTCTGATGAAACTCCTCCATTGAGCTGACACACTATGTTTTTCGCGTACCAATCTTCGTACTTATTGCGCATGAATTTCTTAGCCAGTCCATTGATAGATATGTCCAGGGGCTGTAGATGATGGGTCATATTAGCTGGAACTTTCTGTAGGATGCAGTTGTTGGCTGTCATCAGATCTTTTAGTGTCTGTGTGTGTTGGGCCCGAAACACATCTGATATATCAGTAGCGCTTTCTGCTCAGGGTTGTTGATTGAGGCTCGAACTGATTCTATGTGGGGAAGAAGGATTTTCTCAAAGAACTGGACACTGGTTAGGGTATTAGACCAATGGTTGTGGGTATGGGTAACATGGAAGCTGGATGGGAACTTGAATTTGGGCTCACAACGCTTTGTTTTACCCTGATAGATTATCTGAACAGGCAAGAATTCTCCCGACAACGGGGCAGATCGTAAATTTCATAATGTGAAACAACTCAGACTACCACCTACATGCTTAAAATTGAAAGCAAAATGACTGAAATAATAAGGTATAATAATGAACTAGGGCAAATATCTAACTGAAAATTTAGTGGAAAATCGTTCATTTTTCGAAGAATTTGTGCCCAAATTTTCGGTCACCCAAATGAGTTCAAATTTTCTGCCCAAATTTTTCGGGCTCAAATAAATTGTGCTCAATATAATGGCACACAAATTTTTGGGAACTAAGGTAATAGCAAACTGCTGTTTTCATTTTATGTTATAGCTTGACCATAATATGAGTTAGCAAGGCACCGCAGACTGCAGTAGAGATAGCCTAGTAACTATATTACTATCGGAGTTGTAATGTAATAACAACTGTACTTGTACCACTGATAATAGAAAATGTGATTCGAATTTGTTCATGGAGTTCAGAGTGAAAGTCCAGCGATGGGGGCCAGAGTAAGAGTCCAGAGCACGTGTGCTCTAACATAGATGTTACTGGTTTCCTTAATCATATAGGTAGTACAGTCAATTTCAGTTTACTTGTGCCTGCCCTAATGACCATGATTACAGTTATCGGTAGGATCAAACTATTACACGAATATAAGAATTAGTGATCCAAGCAATCGACGAACGTCTAATTTAGCCATTCAAGAAATTAAGATTATGTAAAGACGGCAGACTTGCGTCTTGCAGTTGCAGAGGAATAAAGAACTATTTCCAGTCGGACCATCCCGGAAAATTAATTGATCGGGAATATTAGATGGGTGCAGTGTGAGGACATCCTTGACTCAGCAAATGAGTGGGCATTGATTTCTAATTATCAAGTTCTGATAAGTTTTTTGTAATTAAGTCCTATGCCAGCTACTCAAATTGTTTATATTCCTTTTTTTCTGTCGCCAGTTAAATCAACTTTCAAATTAAATTTACTACTGATAAGTAATCTGTGATTTCTACAATATTACAAGTTGAACAACTTCAGAGCAAAAATGTCATTTCATTATGAATTCTTCAATCTAATTAGTCTGAAAACCCTATTTCCCCTACCATAATTCGTGATGTACTGTAACATTACCTCTGAAGTCCAGAATATTCACAGGACGGCGTGCCTTGTAATTGTGTTGCTAGCATTAAGGAAACTTCCTTTATATAACCACTGTAATAACAAGGTTAAATACCATAAATACCATTACCTTGCATAATAAATATCTTCTTACATGATCCACCTGGTCCTGTTTTCCCTGTACCACTCTATATAATATACTGCCCCTGCTACTTGTATAGTCGCTCATTTCATCTTGCAGTGATACTGTTGTTGGGTTGAATTAAGAGGTTGGTTTCTGCTTTATACTACAGTGCTTCCAGAGAGGAGAACAATGAGTAATCACATGCCAGGTATACACTAATATTTGTTTAATACTACTATATTTACTGTGTAATGTCCGGATAGAACATTATTTTGTAGGAGTCGTATTGTTACTGAAAAGAGCAGTTTCCCTTTGTCGCATTTACGGAATTATCAGAAATTTTGAACTCTAAACGTATATTCACTGTAATTTATCTTTAATTAAAACGTAAGGTACACTTTTGTTATGAGGTTTATAATATCATTCGAACCTTGTTCTTTTCACAAACTTTTGACAATTGTAACTAAGTATTTTAGTTTTGTTGGCAATGTTCACTAAAGTAAGAGTGCACTTCACAACTCGACATCTAACATTGCACCACTAGTAGTGGGGGGGGGCCGGGGGGGGGGGGTAAGCAGGGAGGCGGCATCAGGAGGGGGGAGGAGGTCAGGAGGTGCTTCTCTTCCGAATTCAAGGTCTTTTGTAGGAAAAAAGTTGGCAGCAAATAGTACTATATCCCGGCAATCTGGAAAGCCTCTTGGGGGAGGGGGTGCCAAAATCGTTAGGGCATACGAATAACATATGAAAACGTAATTTGTAAATTCCATATGTTATCACGGCTTGTTAATTTGATAACGGGCGTGGCTTTCATTTCACCCGATGGCGTGACATAAGGTATTTGATTACATTTTTATCAAATATTCCAACAATTTGGTAATTATCCAAAAAAAGATTATTCCTATACAGGTCTAGGTCAAGGCACGCCGCCTCACAACAACACGATGTTAGTGGCATGATATTTTATGTGTAGTTGCAATGCAAAGATTCTACCGAGTTAGCAAAAATGTCAGAGCACTACTCACTTAGCTAACTTAATTTGATCACCATATCAAATTACAATTATTGTTCACATCTACTCAGATATCTACAAATAATAAATGGTCCCGTACGTATCTTGCGCTCTGCTGATAAAGCTCCATAAGACTAGACTCCACCCTAACCAGTCTGCTACCCTGTCTGCTTGTCTTCTGTGTCTCTTGTGTGCATCACGAGGGGACTAGTCACTAGAATCTTCATGTCCCGTGATGAAGGGTCAGAGAATTCTTAAATTCAGCAGCTGAGCTTTTTGTTGCTTTATCACATGTCATTATTCTTTGTTTTTTGTTCCTTTTGTCGCTGGCTCTGTCTATATCTTTTCATTTGAGGTGCTCTAACAAGCGCAATTCAGATCTTCACTCATCATTTCACTCCCTTCTATTATTCTATTGTATCACCGAAAGGTAAAACGTCCCTGTCTTTATTGTCTATTGTCTATAGTTGCCCTGTGTCACTCCCACTATACCCCCCTTTAAAACTCACCAAATTATCATTCTCCTTCGTGATGTGGTGAGACACCTGGCTACAGTATCTTACTCTTAGTAGTGTAGTACTAGTACAGTAGTCAGTAGTGTAGTACTTAGTAGTGAAGTACTAGATACTTACTTTGTTACTTTGTAGGGCTTCATAGAATCCTCTATCGGGCCATCGAAAAAGTCGACCCCCCGGACAGTGTAGAAACTGTTTTATCACCACTCCAATCAAGCAAGGAGTTTCCATTCCGACGGCTGTATCCTGGAGCTGGAGGCTCGTCCGGAAATGACTTCACAAAGTTCGTTAAAGCTACTTTGAATTGCATAGGATCCTCGATGGTGTGCATATGTGTTGGGATTACATTCCATAATCGAGGTCCAGTGACTGCAAATGAGTTGTCATGTAGTGCTTGATTACGTTGACTGCTGGACTTAGCTATACTGGGCACAACTGCTTTTTGACCATGTCTGAGAGTCGCCGAGAACTGGATACCAATATCATTAGGGCACTTGCAATGCAGAACTTTCCACATGTTGATGATTAAATACCGTTCTCTTCTTCTTTGCAATGACATCAGATCTAGGGCCTTTAATCTCTGCCAGTAGTTGAGGTGCTGGATGCCATCTATTTTCGATGTAAACGTACGCTGAATCCCTTCTAGCTGTTGGATGTCCTTGTTCTTAGAGCAATTCCACAGAGGACAGCAATACTCCAGATGACTTCTAACGAGAGACTTGTACAGAGTCATCATGGTGGCTTTGTCTCTCGTTTTGAACGCACTTAGCACCCAAGAAGCAACTTTTCCTGCGCGTTCAGCTATCCTGTTGACGTGTGGGGTCCAGGACAAATCAGCGGAAACTGTCACTCCTAGATCTTTCACCGTTTGAGTGGGGTACAGCATGTTTCCGTTAGACACTTCATATGTTTGAGCTTGGATGGCGAATGGATGATCAAACAAGGAGTTCTTTGGACAATGCTTGTGAACAAGAAGCTCGAACTTATCCTCATGAAGGGCCATGTTGTTGCACTTAGCCCAATTAACAACAGAGTTGAGATCATCCTGCAGGACATCTTTGTCGGCCAAACTGTAGATATGCTTAAGAATCCTAGTGTCATCAGCAAAGAATCTGATGACAGACCCTTTAACACATAGCTTCATATCATTTATGAA